TCCCTCTCGTTCTTCTCCTATAAAGCGCAAAGATAAAGTCTGGTTTTGCTGGACACCACATTCCTCACACTAACACATAACAGCACGACAATCTTAATGCAAACTGCTCAAAAGCTGTGCTATTTCAAACCTGCAGTCTTCCTTGGAAGAATTTTAATAGAGTTTTTATGAATAGCAGTCTAGCAAATAGCATGTTGGACTGCATACTGAAGTAACACTACGTTTCGTACATCAAAGGACAGATCAGATGCTTAGAATTGCAGAAGGATTTTGGATGGAAAGGACTTCAGGATGTCACACAATGTACGTCACACAAAACAGAGCTCACATTCAGTAACAGCAAGTCTCCACAGCCTCATTTTATCAATAACAGTAAGCTGAAAAGTTGGCTTCAGTTGTTTTAAGTAATTTTCTACTAGCAAGAATGCAATGTTAATACCTTAATGCACACAATGAACTGAGAGCTTCACCTCGAAACCCAAACGTTTCAACGTGTGTTAGATCAGAAAAATCTTGTATCTTTGACGTATAATGTTTCAGAGCTGGAAAGAGATATTTAGAGTATAGATTTCACTTCCAAGTGACAGTGACACTAGGCCACACGAGTACATTTTCCATATATACCAGACTTCTGCAATTACTTTTCAACATACAATGAGTAATAGCAACAAAACAAGACTTTCCTTTCCCCTTCACAAGCTCACTTTTAAATCCTCACACATCCTGCTGTGCCACAATTACCACCTGAAATCAATACAGCAGGACTGGCACACACCAGAAGGTGCCTCAGAGCAGCACAGGTCAGCTGCTTCTGCCACCTATTTTACTCTGCAGGAGAACTGCAGGGCCATGCCATGCAATGTTATACAGCAAACAGGCATGGGATCCTGTGCCACAACCACAGCCTGAGGAGGGCTCAATTCTATGCAATCAGCCAGCACCCATCACCAGGTAACAGACTGCAGTCCAGGACCTTCCCTGTGCTGAACAGCAGAGGAGTTCACTGCCTACCGGATAAACACTGCGAGCACAACAAGTAACACAGTAACTCATGGTGAAAGAGGTCTCTAATGGTGATGTGGAGGAAGAAACAAGGCAGAAAGCAAGCAGTTGCACTTGTCAAACAGTGCTGCTTCTGCTCCTGTTTTGCACGGCTGAAACTAGCAGAAGGAAGGTTTGGCAGCCACGTGCACGCAGTCGGCTCCCATTCAGTATGCACTCTATCTATAGTTTACTTCCCGTGAAGTCTGGCTCCTTCAGCAGTGACTCACAACTCACCACGAATAAATCTAGATGAACGTTTCTGGGACATTCTCCTCCACAATGACACCTACTCTTTGCTCCACTTAAGCAAACAAGCAAACCAAGACCTGCTTCTGAACTACAGCAAATACAACAAGAGCACTTCAAAAGCCCATTCGAATTTGTAAAGAGCAGCAGTCATTATCTCACCTAAAATATACCTCCAAAGCATCTAAATGTAAATTATGAAAGCCGTTTAACTTACTTAATCCTGCAAAGTTTTCCTCTTCCACTCCACCTCCATTATCCGAAACCTCTATCAGCTCCGCCCCGTGGTCTTTAAGTCTTACATCTACAAACACAAGAAATGAAGTCATTCAGAGCTGTTAACACACAGAGTTGGGTATCAGCGCGGTACTTGGAATAACTCCCGCCGACGGCCGTTCTGCAGAACAAGTCTGAAGCAGCAGCCCCGCACCGGGCCACCGTCAGCACCCACCGCACCCAGCGTGCGGGCAGGGCAGGGCAGGGCAGGGCAGGCCCGGCTCCGTCCCGAGAACCGCCCCGAGCCCCACGTTTGTGGCGCCTGAGCGGAGCGCCGAGATGCGAGCGGTACCAAGAGCCCGCGAGGCCGCGAAGCTCGGACGGGAGGGCCGTTACCGATGCTGGTCGCTCCGGCGTCCAGGCTGTTCTCCACCAGTTCCTTCACGGCCGTGCCCAGGCTCAGCACCACCTGCCCCGAGCAGATCCGGTGCACGGACTCGCGGTCGATGCGCCTGATGGCCTCGGCGGGCTCCGAGCTGCCAAAAGAGGAGCGGAGACAGGCGGGCTGAGGCGGCGCGGCACGGGAACCCGCACGGCCGCCCCGAGCCGCACGAGCCGGGAGGGGAAGAAGCGAAAAGCCGAGGAGACCGCGCTCGCTCCCGGGAGGGGTGGGGAGGACCCGGCTGCCTCGGGCCGCTCACCAGGGCGCGGCCGCCTCCATTGATTCCCGCCGATCGCCTCGGCCGCCCGCAGGCCTGGCCTGGCCCCGCCCCGCCCGGAACAGCGCCCGTGTCTCCCTGCCGAGTCACTGACCTCATTGGCTCGGGCCAGCCAATAGAAAGGAGGCGAGGAAACGAGACGAGCGAGCATTGGGTGGTGGGAGAGTCCGTAAAGACACGCGCTCCCTCTGGCCCAATGGGCGCGGCGGGTGGGCGGGGCCAGGCGGGCTGAGCGGCGCCGCGCAGCGCCGAGCAGGGAGCCGCCATGCCCATGTACAAGGTGAAGCCGCTGCACGGCGCCGCGGGCCCGCTGCCGGCAGAGCAGCTTCCCACCTGCATGTACCGTGTGCCCAGCCTGCACCGCTGCGCCACGCCGCAGGTAGGAGCGGGGGCTCGGCCCGCCCAAGCCTGGCTGCCGTGCGGCGGAAGCACGGCGCTGCGCCGCGCCCGGCCTCTGGGTTGCCCCCCTTCCGCCGGCTTCCGGCTCCGCATCGCGTTCCGCGGGCTCCCCGCCCGCCTGCCTGCCGGCCTCCGCTCCCGGCGCTCCGCACCCCGCTCTGCCCTCCGCGCGGAGCGGCCTGGGACTGCGCAGGGCCCGGGCGGGCTGGCAGCGCGGCTGTCTGCGTGGAGGTTTTCCTCTCACGTCGTTGGAGGCTGCAGAGTCGCGGCGCCGGCTCGGGTAACCACGAGCGTTTCCGACACTCGAGACGTAACTCAGCGCTCACCTCATCCGCACGCACGTGAGGCAGCTCAGATACAGACCTCGCCTTTCCGCGGTGAAGGATGAGGATGCGAATAGCACTTCTAAAGGCTTTCAGGGGCGGGCGAGCTGTGCACTACGTGGCCCCCGAGCTGAGTGAACCCCAACGGGACTTTCTCTCCTCTAGGAAGAAGTCGACCCGTCGCTTCAAGCCCTTGAATCCCGCCAGGAGGAGATCCTGAAACGCCTGTATGAGCTGAAGAGCGCCGTCGATGGGCTCTCAAAGATGGTACAGACTCCTGATGCTGACTTCGATGTGACTCACGTCATTCAAAATGATGAGTCTTCTCCTCTGACGACAAATGGAGCGGATTTAGACTTGATGCTTGGAAAGGTAAGCTGAGTTCAGCACGTACAATGGTGGGTGGTTTCTTTGCCCTCAGCTCAGAAGGGGTGGAAGGGTGGTGTTAAGACTTGGAGCCCCCAGAACTCACGAAATTTTGACTTCAGATTTGATAGAATTTACTGCAATATCCATAAACGTTGAAAAAGGAAGATGTTTAAATTTTTCGGTGATTTAAGTGTCAGAACTTGTTTACCCCTGGAGTTTTAAACACATGCATGGCTATATACATTTGGCGAGTGTCTTACCTGACTCTTTTTTCCTTTCTATTCAGGATTACGGTGCCCTGAAAGATATCGTAATCAATGCAAATCCTTCTGTGCCCCCATTGTCCTTATTAGTACTGCACAGCCTGCTCTGTGAGCGCTACAAGATACTATCAGCCGTTCACACACATTCATCAGTGAAAAGCGTGCCAGAAAAACTCCTGAAATGCTTTGGGGAGCAGATGAAGAAGCAACCACGCCATGAGTATCAGTTGGGCTTCACTCTGATATGGAAGGATGGTAAGAATAAGTTATCTTCCAGGGGAATACAATAGGTCAGAAAGTGAAACTTGTGCTATAGAACAGATGCTTTGGTGTAAAATGGCTGATAACGTGATGGACAGGTAGCATCTCTGCTCTTCTTGCAAGTATGAACTTTTGATAGCTGTGAGCAGTGGTGGGAACAGAGAAATAAAACCGAGTTACTGCTATTAAAACACAAATTACATTTAAAAGGCAGCTATTTGAAACTCTCATCTCCAGCAATCCTGTGGATAGTTTCTACAAAGATTGGCTGAGAGATTTTTCAATCTGCAGTCCAATGGGAGCTTTTTTATGCCAGGTTATTGCTTTAGTTTAAGTATTCAGACTAAGAAAACTGAAAAACTGTTGTCAAGTTCACAACATTAGAAATGCTGATGGCATCAGAAACAAAATAAATCTTACCAATGTACTTAGCTTCTCTACAGTAATCACTTCTCTCTTCTTGATTTCAGTTCCAAAACCTCAGATGAAGTTCAGCATTCAAACAATGTGCCCAATTGAAGGAGAAGGGAACATTGCTAGATTTCTCTTTTCCCTTGTCGGCCAGAAGTACAATGCCATTACTTCAACTCTGATTGACAGCTGGGTTGACACAGCCATCTTCCAGCTCAAAGAAGGCAGCAGTAAAGAAAAAGGAGCAGTCTTGCGATCCATGAATGCTGCCCTGGGCAAGACATCGTGGCTGGTGGGAAGCGAGCTCACCGTGGCAGATATTGTCGCGTGGTGTGTGCTTCAGCAGACAGGCAGTGCAAATGCTGCACCAGCCAACGTGCAGAAATGGATGAAGTCCTGTGAGAACTTAGCACCTTTCAGCTCTGTTATTAAGCTACTGAAATAAGTCTGTACCTTTACATAAACAGGGTGATTTTAACCTACTCCCACCCCACACCTACTGTCATGGTTTGAATCCTTTATGAGAGCAGTTTCTGCAGTTGGATAGAATTCTAAAACCAATAAAAACATTACAGCTGCCTTTTGTATGTGATCTTCCTTTTTAGCTGCTGCGTGAGAAACACGTTTGTTTAGTTACCTAAAGCAGTCCTATGCAAATACAAGCTGTATTTTGAATTTTTCCATCTTTTTTCTCTGTACAATTTAACTTGGAATCTTTTCGGTTTAAAGAACAGACAGGAAAATCAAAATGCACCAAACTATTTTTATGTAAAAAAAAAAAAGTTTTTCTATAACTTAACATACAGTAGTTGTGTTCTTCCTGTACTTAAACTGGAGAACCTTGTTTCATATGTTCATCTTGTCCAGAGGAAAGCAGTCTTAGTTTCTCTTTCAGCTTTTCTATTTCTTCTTCTTGCTCTCTCACCTTTTGCTGTAGATTAGAAATAACCTGGAGATGTGAGACAGCTGGTTTATTTACAGGCAGGGATAAATCCTCATCAGTGTATTGGCACATCTGTAGTCAACTACAAATAAGATTCTGCAGCACAGATCTTAGTGGCAAGGAAAGGGATAACTGTAACAAAGACTGCAGAGCTGACAAAAAACCTCCGTCTGCAAATCAAGTGTCCAGTCTTAAGTTACCTGCACTTATTGGCTATTTTTCTCCTTTAAAAGAGCTGGAAACAGTAGCCTAAATATTCTAACAGGGAATAATGATCTCAATCACGCAATTCTCTTTAAGTTTTAAAATAGGCACAAGACAGGAAAGGTAAGGAGATTGTTACAAAGCAATTTAGCTTTGATATTTTTTATCCTGAAGGCTGATGTTGGCAGTACTTACGTGTTCTGTGGTATGAAACAGCTCACTGTCACGAAGCTGAGCAGCACTTGGTCTTTCTGTGGATACCTGACTGGTGAGAAGTTTCACATACTTGGCTTGAACAGGCCATTTCTTGTAGAAGTTACGAGGAATGTGGCCATTCCTTACATTTGTTATAACTTCTGCTCTTTCCATTTCTGTTCCAAATGGCTGGAAGAGTTCTAGCAGGATAACACCCAAGCTATACATGTCTGACTGAAAAAGGGCAAAGAAAAAGTTCTGGGATAATTTCTACTTCAAAGGACCAACCAGATTTCATCTCACAAACACTGCAGTGAGGCTTATGACAAAGTTTCAGGATAAGAAAAGTTCTGTGGCACTACTGAAGCAACTCAAATTCAAATCCATACAGATTCTTCAAAATGATCTCAGAAACACAACTTCTGGATTTAGCAGGCAAAGCTGAAGTCTGTTTCAGCAAAAAAATGGGAGTAACCGTAATTGACCAAATTGTTGGAAAAAAGAAGAAAAAGTTGGAAAATTAACCAACAATGACATCACTGAGAAGCTTATGCTTTATTCCTATGATATGTCCTACGTATGCCTTACAGAAACAAGAATCATTTTACTGTCAGACTTTCTTTTCGGATGAGTGATGCTATTAACATTAAGCATATAGTTTCAGTATAGTTACCTGCATAACATTTCAGGTTATGCAGGTAGACATAAAGTGTTACCCTGGACAATCTGAATATCAGCACTAATCAGATAATAGCATTTAAATGTGTTCATAGAGGAGGGGTAAAAAACAAAACCTACCTTGAAGTCGTAGTCAGACCCCTGCAGCTGTTCTGGGGAAGCATATAGGCAAGTCCCCACACCTGAGGTATGTGTCAGTCCTTTAAAAAATGAGTTTAGACTTATTAATGTCTTAAATATGCTAGAAACTTAAAACGCTGAAACCTACAAAGATTTCTGCTCTTACCATTTATCCTTCCTGTGTGAAACCACTGGTCTGCATCATCCCAAAGGAGGTCTTGGCAGGCTAATCCAAAATCTCCTATTTTAACTTGATGATCTGATCCATGCAAAAATATATTTCTGGGCTACAAAATAAGACAGTGTGAAGTATTAAGATATCTATATAAAGGATTATGAATTGCTGAAGTTGCATTCAGCTGTTTCAAAACCTGTTGCATCCAGTCATTCAGATGTGTAGGACAATGATTCTTTCATACTTTCATCAGTGAGATAGAAGAAAATAGTCAGAGTGTTTCAAATATTCACCACCATTTGGGCAGAAAGACTACTTACAAAGGATCCAGGAAAAAAAAGAAAAGAAAAACAGGGAAAAAAAAGGTTTAGCTAAAAGATAATGTACTTCTCAGCAGGAAATGGCAGTTTTTCAGAACAGTAATGTTAACAGGCAAGAATGCACAGCAAGTGAAACCTAAGTAGCAGAAATCAGTACTGAGATCACTGGGCAAGACCTCACATAAAACAAGAGTCCTCTAAACGACAAGCACAGCTGCAAAGTGCCAAGTGTTTTTCTTGGAAAGCTGGAATGGAAGCAGTTGCTGAGGCTGCTGAGTGGAGCACTGCCTGCAGAAACACTGAACGAGTTGTCCATTTATTTCAGCTGCACGAGCACGGCTGAGACGCGTTAGCAGCACGTGTGCAGGGCGAAGGAATACTTGCCACTTAAAAGAAAACTACATCCAATTACTGTTCTTTACTTACTCTGCAGCAGTTTCTGAACTTAGTGCAGTGCAATGAGAACTGCAAACAATGTTGCTTCATACAGACTTTTCTTCTACTAAATGATCAGCTCTAGCAACACAGCAAACAGAGCAGAAGCCTTTCTTCAGTTTTTAAAACTTTTGCTGCTTTTGCAATACTTTCAGAATAGCACAGTTACTTCACAGCTGTTCTAGAATCAGGCAGCCCAGAACATCACAAAGAAAGGCACTGCTCAAAGGAAAGAGATCAAACCTTTCAGTTCTGATTACGGATTGTCATTACAAAAACTGTAACTCCCTTGTCTGCCAGTAGCAGAGTAAGCAAGACAGCCAGCAGCACTGCCACTGCCTGTGCTTGCCCTGTGCTCTTGTGAGGGCAGAGGACACAGATTGCGCTGTGAAGAGCTACGTGAAATCATGATGGAAAATGGCGGGAGTTAAAGCTTTACCATCTGTTAGCAAATAGCGAGTGCTTGGAAGGACCCCCACCTCACAGACCTGCTCTCCCTCCAGGTAACACTCCATGTGTTATTGATATGTATTTATTTATTTTTAAATTCAAAAAAAATATAAAGAAACATTCAATGATTGTGGTTCCCTGATAAGATCAGACTCATAAGTCTTCATAAAATCATAAAGAGGCCACTGGAACTGCAAGCATAAGTGTTACTCTGGGGAGAAGCCCCTGGGGACTCCCAGCTCACAGCACAGGCCTCCACGTCTCACGTTTCTCTGAAGGATCAGGCTAACAGGAATTTCAGAAAGAATGTCAGGACCCTCATTGATCTGAGCTGCAGTGAGGCAACAGAAAAGGTTCCTACAGAAAGTAACCTGTTTGAAGCCGTGAAAGAAAGGATCAGGACAAATGGTCACAGTGAAGCTTTCACAGTGGAGGATATCAACAAGCAATTGTTTTATTGAGCTGTACCAGGAACTCACTGAACAACGTATTCATAAATGATGTAGAAAAAGGGTGAACAGCGAGATAAAGTTTCCTGGCAGAGAAATAAAGATGAGGTCTGAATGCCAAGAATCATAAAAGGATCTTGCTGGTCTTAACAGGCAAAAGGAATTCAGTGCAAATAAACATTACAATGCAAATAAAAGGAAAATCAATTTTACACGCTCAACAACTATCTCTAAGCTGATTTACTGTTCAAGAGTGGTAACAGCCCTAAAAACAGCAATTTGATGCTCACTGCTGCTTCATGACGCAAAATGCACATCACCAACTTTTTTTTTTTTTTCCTTTGGAGAGGGTAGGGAGATGAAGAAGAAAACATTACACAGTCCTGTACAAATTAATGAACTGTCACCTCCAATACTGCCTCTCATCTCAAATACAATTACAGAAACACAGAACATCCCTGGTTGGAATAACACATAAGAGAAGTGGAATGACGTGCAGAAACAGTTGACAAGAATGCTGAAAATTTGCAATGTCTTTGATTCAAGGAATCACTAAATATAAAACATAAGACAACCTGTTAGGTTTAAAACAGATCTATTAAATCAAACGTAGAATGGAAAGATTGAGTAGGAAATACCACTCAGTCTGTAATTTGTGTAAACAGCAACCAAAAACAGAAGCAGTACCTGTTGACTCAGACTCATTTATTGTTGACTATACTGCTGAAACTGAAAACTTATCACGGTAATTTTTAAAACAACATTTCCTGATCTGAATAGAGAAAAAGAGGCAAGAATCAGTCACAAGTTCATGGAGCCACAAGTGACAAGTTTGTCCCAGAAGCTGCTTAATATTGCTGGTTTGCAATGAATCTGATGACAGAACTGACCCATAACAAACTGTAATCCACACATCCAGAAGCACTGCTAGATTGTATCACAGATCCACTGGAACTTCTGCCTGCTTATGATTCTTCTGTGAGTTTCACTGACCTGAAATCAAACTATATTGACACATTTCCATGCTATAAAACTGGGAAATATAGGAGGAAATTAAGTATAACACCATTTGTTGCATTCCTGCTAAGCACATGGGAGCAGTGATTAACAAAAATAAGTTAACGATCCAGCTGCTCTTCGGTCATTGCCATCCATAGAGCTTGCTCTGTTTTGTGACCTTACTGCGTTACACTCCACCAGTCCAGAAGTATTTTTTTCCTCAGTAAAAACGAACTAACTTGAAGCTATGTTTTATGTTACAGAAATAACCAGAGGCTACACAGCACTCCATCTCCTACTCAACTTGCCCAGTGCCTGCAGAGCTGCGATGTCCACTTGAGGCAAATCTCAGAGAAGTCGGCCAGCTTCACAGAGTAACACAGAAGAGTGTCTCTATCTTGCACAACGTAAAACACCAGATAAAGCCTGAAATGAGTAACTGCAACTGTGACCACCTGGTACACTCAAGTCAACAGTCTGATGATGACTTTCCACCTACATCCATTCTTTTTGAATACTGTCTCAACACAAAGGACACAGCCAAATCTGGCTGGATGCCTCTTCACATAGCTGCAGGGTCACTGAATGCAGAGGCAACAGCAACTTTAATTGCATCTGGAGCAAACACCAATTCTACTATTACAACTTGTGGCAGAACTGCCCTCCACATTGCAGTGTGTGCAGCATCATCCAAAGCAAGCAGAATTTTAGGTGTCAACATAGATTGCATCTCTTTACTATTAAGTAACGGAGCCAATGTAAATATCCAGGATCATGAAGGACGAACAGCTGTGCACGAGGCCTGCTCAGGGGGTAGAAGGGAAATAGTCCATCTCCTGTTGGAGTATAAAGCAGACATGAACAGTCTAACAAGAGATGGGCAATCTCCAGTCTTTCTTTTTCTTCAGAAGAGATCACATTTAAAAGACAGAGCACTGCTGAACAAGTTGCTGGGATTCTCATATCCACTGAAGTTAAGAGATAATCAAGGAAATCTACCCACTGGCCTTCTGTTCTCAAAATTCCAAAAGCTGAAGGACTTCCTTCTAACACTATCACAGAAATTACTGTCCCTGGAGGATATCTGCAAGATCACTGTTAGAAGAATATATGGAGAGAACAGCAAGTACTGGCTCAAAACCAGGCTTCCAGCAACTGTATGGAATTCATTATACAGCTATGAGAATGTAGGAAAACTCGCCTGTGATGACACTGAACAGGAAAGCAAACCGAGATACTGTAAACCCTGAACAGCCTTAGCGAAATTAAAATTGATCCAGAATGAAGATTAATGTTGTGTTTTCTGAAGCAGCTCCAAATTTTCATTTGCAGAGTTTTAATTACCAAGGTAATATTTACACTGATCTCCTCAAAGAGCTGCCATCTCTTTGTGCAGAAAGCTTCTGAAGGAAGCAGAGCAGAATACACACTCACTTCACTGCTAGTGGGTTACGCGAGGTTAAGCAGGAGTGAGGGGGAAAAAAGCAAGGTGTAGTCAACCTACACTTCACATTTAAGCTAGCCTGTAAGTTAAAACTACTCTTATGATTAAAGTTCAAAAAAAAAAAAAAAAAGAAAAAGCCACACACACAAAAAAACACAACGAAGGAACACACAAAAAGCATCTACTGCAATCCATTCAAAGTGTATTTTTCTAAGTCTGATCTTCACTACATTTAATAGGAATTAAAATAAACTTTTAATTCCTTCATCGAAGTCACCTACAGTCTGAGTCCCTTACATGAGACCAGAACTATTTTGAAAGACAGGAATTAATTTGCAAATGAGGGAAAACTTAAGGAGAAAAAAAAAACTATACTTTGAACATATCACAGAATGGCCAGGGTTGGAAGGGACCTCAAGAATCATGAATCTCCAACCCCCCCCCGCCACAGGCAGGGCCACCAACCTCCCCATTTAATACCAGACCAGGCTGCCCAGAGTTTATTTTTCATCTACAACAGAGCTAAATTTAAGAGCCCATACCCCCTCAAAAGTTGTGAAGCTGGTTTTTTTTTCTCCCATCACAGAAGCTACCCTTGTTTTCTTTAGCCTCAAGTGATAACCTAACAAACTTACTTTAATGTCTCGATGCATCACTCCCATGCTGTGGATATAGCACACTCCTTCTAATAACTCTTCAAAAATTTTCATTGTCCAGCTGACATCCACAAGATGGTATGGACCTTGAAGCAATTCAGAATATACATTATTTGGCTAAATTTTGACGAGATACTTAAGTTTATGTTACTATGTCTCACTGAAACCAGTTTATTTATGATATGGAAAAAAAATTTAATGGAACGAGCACGGTTTAAAAGATGGTATTTCCCACAGTTCTCCTAAGAAAGTATTTTGAAACCCTAGAAAGTCACTAAGCTCAGAATGCAGGTCGGTTCCTGGAACATCACTGCATCTGCATGCAGGTTTCTCCAAGTCCCACCGCACAGTTGTACGATTATGAATTTAATGATCACAAATCTGAAGTACCTGCATTCACTACCTGTCCATTTGTCTCTGACTGGAATTCTGCCAATCTGCTTTGAATGAAGAAAAAAAATAACTACTGCTTAAACAACTTTCTGACAAAGAGCAGATTCTCTCATTTAAAAACTGCTCCAAGCAAGCATCACCCATACAGAGCTCTGTGTTGGTAACAAGTACGGCTCTGGCATACATTCATTCTTTTTCAGAGCTGTCTGAAAGTCACAAACTTGAATCTCTTTCAACAACATCTATCATATCAAGGTTCAATACTAGCAGCTATTGGATGAAACGAATAAAGAATCCAATTAAGAAGATCCATACTATAAGCTGCTGAATTAAAACATCCTGCAAATGAACTTCTAATTGAGAAAAGGTCACTATTTGCTTTATAGCAAGGAAACTTTAAAAACAGCTATGAATCTTACCAGCAGCATCCTCTGTTTTCTCACTGCACCTTCTGTTACGGGCAGCAATCCAGTCCCACAAGGACAGTTCACACAGTTGCATCTGTATATAAAGCATCAAACGATACTCCACCTAACAGCAAAACATGGTACTGCTGATGTAATGAACAGCATCACCTTACTTACCTTCTTTAAAGGCAACAGAAACTAAATTTATCTTAAGCCAAAATTCAGTTACCAAAATGACAACAGATACAGTACTACTGCTATCTAGTTTGGGCTTTGATTTTGTTGCTGCTGTTCTTCCTCAAATTGTAGCAATTGTTATAAGACCAAAGCTAACGGAACAGCCAGCTAGATTTATTATATATATATTTAAAGATTCAAATGAGACTATAAAAGCAGTTAGAATTACTGCATGGAGGTTCATTCTGACTTAATCGCGTAAACAGATATAAAACAAGAAAAGTCAACCTGTTGATATGGAACTGTATTTACACAAACATGTAAAGTCATTCTCAGACAATGCATGTGCTCATTTGAAAATCTGGACAACTCAGACACCTTTAAAACCTGAGACTTCTTTCACAAGGGAACTGCAACTGATAGCAAAGGCTTGAAACATTCCTGAGCCATCTGCATTGTACAAAACACCGCAGGGGTAAAACGCCAACAGTTTAAGAGGCGAAAGCAGAGTGGTCATTCCTTCCCTCTCACATGTAATCTCACGCTGGACAGGGTCAGCATCACATACCCAGGCACTTTCACCAATATCTAAACTAGCTGCTGTTGCTGAATATTGAAAATGTTCAAGTCTGTTGGTTTGTTTTCTTTCTCAGAAACACAGGAGTAGCACTTTTTACTCATGTAAGCACATCAAAAGGACCCCGAATGACTAACAGAGACTTTTCTGTATGTGAGTTTTGCCACATACACATTGCTGGTCGTTTTCCTTGTAATTACTCAAAGTAATAAGAGTCAATACTCTCGGTTCTAATAAAAGTCCTTTAAAATTTATCATTATAAACAATTCCTGCAACATCCACATTTTCCTTTGCAGCCTTCATGAAATCAGACAGCAGCTAGATGTACTTAAGGAGAGCTGCACTTACCTCGAACCCTCCACAGAGAGCTACATCATTCCCAGAGCACTCTTCAGTGCAGGACTCACTTCCAGCACTAGCATCTAGATCCAGACTACAGGGATGGCCGTATGATGAATCATTTTTAAAATCAGTTGATCTACAGTCAACACTACTGACAGAGTCTGCTTGTAGTTCTACGGGCGATTCACATCTATTTGGTTTCATACCTATTTCCTTACTATTGCTGTTAGTGAAATCATTCCTTACATCCATATTCTGCACCAATTCACTATCCTGATTTCTAAGATATGTACTGTCGCCAGACTTTTCTTCTTGTGAAGTAAGGTCAGCAAAAATAATTGAACTACCACTTTCCACACTCTGAATGTGACAGTGATCACTGAAAAGAATAAAGAGAGAGAAATCTAAATGCAGAGTTTTATGCCATGCACTTGCAATACACCATTCTGAAAACTTCATTTTTTATTGCAAACTGTACTCCAGAGTTAAGAGTTCAGCTACTTCCCCACATAGAACTTTAGGATCATGAACTGCCAAGTGTTGGCTGCAACCTTTTTATATTCTCCCTGAGCATGGATTTCTGGCAGCTGACCCAGATAGCTCACAGACACACACACAGCCATAGGTCACAGTATTCACTGGGTAGAACTATGATGATTCTCTCCTTTTCAGTTAGGAAACTGCACTGTAATATTTTTCATTGGACTCCACCTCCTTACCAAAAAGGCTAATCAACACTTCTGAGAAACAGAAGGCCCCATTGCCCTAAAAAGACTCTGCAGTATTAATCAATGTTGGCAAATACCATAAAGCTTTTGAAGCAAACGTGAACCCCATACTACACTCAGGCACTCTGAAATTGCGAGATCCAAGGCAGGCAGGGGTATCCAGCAACATTCTTCAACTCAACCAGAACAGAAACAATGACAAGGATAACTAATGCTTTTTCCTTGTTGTAATTAGAAAGTAAAAAGCAACACGTGCTGAATTCTGTACTCTTTTAACGCTATTTAAAGAAAAATAAAAGCATTTGAATTAAAGAGAAAGAAATGTTATCGCTGAGGTGTGTTATACTTACTTGCCACTCTCCTGTTCCAAGGGTAACGACTGCAACTTCAATATTGTCTTATCTATTGGATGAGAAGATAGGTATGGTACGTCAGGAAACAAAACATGCACATACGTACTACAAAGCAATGTTTAAGCTACAGCATCTTCCTGAACTCCACTATTTGTAAATATCTTTCTCTTTGCAATACAAAAGCCATTTCTCAGACTAAGAAACAACCCCGAGTAATCTGTTCTTCCTTTTTCTTTAAAAGAAATTAAACATTATAAGAAATCTCTGGAAGTGTTAGATTTGGTTCCTCTACATGTTCACCCAGCTTTGATCCTTAATTACTCAGCCAGTTCAAAATAAGGCCTTAAGTATAAGATAACACACAGCTAAAGAAACAACTCCTCAAGGCACCCCCATCTGCATCACTTTGCTGCTGTTTTGAAAATATCTGAAATAATTTTCAATAAAAATCGTGTACTCACATGAAAAATAACTTTATTTTAGCACACATTTCAGAAGCAAATACAAAATAACTGTCTTCTAAGCCACAGAAAACCATTAAGTACCACAATACCCACTTGTTACACTTTCAACATTAAATGCCCGTAAGGTATTCCTAGCACTCAGAAGTTGTATCCTTCAAGATTCTCAATATCACAGACTTAAAAAGACTTGTCTATTTTACTATACTATCAACTAAGTATTTTCTTTTGTGCTTATAGCAGGCTGGAAATCAATTCACTGACATGAAAAACAATAAGGTCAGACAGAGGATAAGCAAACCTCCCACTAAGTGAGGATCAAAAGATTTAGCTGCATTCCGGAAGAGAATGAGAAAGAAAAGTCACCAACAGATTAGGGTTTGAAAAGGACCAAAGGACAAAGTGTGGGAAGAGCTGAGAACAGAGAAACCAGGGGAAAAAAGGGGAGGGGGGAAGGGGGCAAAGGATGTGTAAAATGAACATAAAAGGAGATTAATTCTCCTTTTATATATATTATACATATATATATATATATATACATATATATATATATAATAACCAGTACAAAAAAAAAAAACAACAAACAAACAGATGATCTGTAACTGCAGAACTCTATTTGTCAAATTTAAAAGTCTTGCAGAAAGCAAAATAAGAGACAGGGGTTTTTTTGCCTTTTGATTGTTTTTTCCCTTTTGAAGTACTTCTAGGTTCTTTCAGGTTTTCAGAACTGTTTTCTAAGTAGAAAGAGGAGCATAGTGGGAGATTTACCCTACTTTGCCACAACCATGACATTTCAAAATATTCCTAGTTTGTGTGGGTTTTTTACTCCTACTCATCACTTGTTCTCCTGTAGCTGAAGTGGTTCATCCCCAAGCATTCTTCTTCTCCTTCTTAACTCACTACATTTTGAGTTAAAACTTTTTATTGCGTTTTACTTAACCTCAGCCAACTTTAAAATCCTTGCCAAATATTTCCGGAAGAAAAGCTAATGCTTTCATACTTCCAAATTCATTACTGAGTAACAGATAAGCAAGAATTGCTCAATATGCTGTACTTTCCTTTTGGGCAAGCTGTTTGAACCTGTTCCATCCAAGCAGTGTGATAGCCCACAATATGAGGATGCTGCAGTCCAGCCAGCACTTTAACTTCTCGAAGGACCTAAGAGGACAAAAAAAAATCCCAAACAACCCGGTATGACTGTTCTTTAGTTAGACTGCTTAGTAAACCCACAATATAACAAGAAGAATTCCTGAGGAAAAATAATTAAAAAAAAAAAAAAAAAAAAAAAAAAAAATCAAACAAATAATATTATAAAAATGGAGGAAATTTGGAAGCTTTAGAACAAACTACAATTTTTATATACGGATAATACAATCAAAATCAAGCTAATATACCACAGCGAAAGTACTTAAGTATCTCTTAGTCACTTTTTTCTATTAGGTACAGATAAGGTCAAATCTATGGAAACCCAGACTAACAAATGTAAATGCTGTTTTTAATTAATACTTCTTGAAGGCTTGAGAATTTAGTAATGCAGTTAGTGCTTAAATCGAAATCGGTTAGAGCAAACAGAGAATTAAAAGAGATGGGAGGAAATGAAATAAATAATACCTTCATGCAATCTCTTCTTGTAGCCTTCTTAATATTGATTTTTTTAATAGCATAGAACTGACCATCTAACTTGTTTCTGACCTGAAAACAATTGCAATACGACAAAATTATTTGCTGAAGTGTCTAAGTTAGTGAGTTATTAAAACCTTTAGAAACAACTATCTTCTATCAATTAATTTCTGCACTCTATATGGATAACTTCTTGCTTTAATCAGAAAGTTAAACCAGGACGAGGCTTTAGCTGTCTAGGATGAAGATTCAATACCTTCGCCTTATTTTCAGGGCTGCAAACTTCTAATCCAAACTTTGTGAAACACGCCCCTCTACAGCTATCTCATCAACAGAAAAATGCCAATAGGCCCTGATGACCAACAAGTCAGGTTCTCAGTACATCTGAGGGACCACAACTGCCATCTAAATGTGGCCTGTCCCACTTGGGGAACCTGCACTTGGCCGTGCACTGCAAGTGTTCAGCAGTGCTCAACATCGGATGGACAGTTTGTGTTCCAATTGAAGTTGCCTTCTTTTCAAGCAACAACTGGAACGTCGGCGTGCGCAGACTAAGCAGAAAATGTAAACTTCAAAGAAAAACGAGCTATAAACTGTTAAGCTATAAATGAAAAGAATACCTTGTATACTTGGCCATATCCTCCTTTTCCCAATCTTGCAATCTCATCAAATTCATTCAAGTATCGTGAAGTCTGTGCTTCCAAGAGAACTTCTTTTTCCCTATTCAAAAATTAGGCTGCATCAAACTAAGTTACAACTTTCAATGAAGTTATTATATATGCCACAGGCAATCCAGAAATACCGTTTATATTATGAAAAGAAGAAAAAAACCCAATACCTTGGCATTGCCATACTGAATACTGAAAGGCAACAGTATAGCACAGGCAGTTAAGGTGAGAGCACACTATGTGCCTCAAATCCACATCCCAAATTAATGCGAGTATTCAAATGATTTCTTTAAGTGTATGCCTGGTAACTCTTGTTTTCCTTATGACCACATTAATGACAGCTGTCGTACTGAAGGAGATTTCATCAGACCATTTTGAGAGACCATCGAGAAATTTCCACTTTTTTCTGTGTTTCAGAAATTAAATACAAGGTGTGGCACATGAATCAAATTCACACAGAACTCTAGGGAGGAAGTTGTTTAGTATCTTTTCAATGCTTTGAATACATACCCAATTGCACGAGAATCTCCATTATCAAGTTCCTATGAAACAATAAAATCCAACATAAAAACATGCCACACAGAGCAATAGGTCTACCATGCCATTACCACAAACAGCTTAATCAAAACAGAAACTAGAACTGCGCTCCTAGAAGAAAACGAGTTCACAGATACAGACAGCCATTCATTCTCGAGAGCGAACTGAAGTACTGCCCTACCGGCGAGCAGCTAAGGTCACTGCTGGAGAGAATGCTGCCCTTCAGAGCAACCCCTGCTGGCAAACAGGATAACACGAGGGCTCCAAAACATGCTCAACACAGCATTAACTGGCATAGTTGAAGCAGACAGATGAATAAACCGCTCTGACTCAGCCTGAAGCCCAACACAAGGGTACAGTTAACCAGAGCAGTTAAAAGTCAGAATGCATGCCTGCCTGCTGACAAAAAAAGCAGTAGCAATGTTTAGAACACTTTGCCTATGTTTAAAAAAGAAAAAAACATTTTTTTAACACTACTATTTAATACAGAATGAAATATTTCTGGTTTCAAAAACATCGATTTGCACCTACAGGTCCAGAACACACCATCTCAAATAGACAAGACAGAACTGGAATTCTATTTGTAGTTACTGAAAACAACCAATCCAGTATTAAAAGAACCCCAAAACAAAATATTCTTTAGATGCAATGTGTTAATCCCTAAACGCAGATGCTGCCAAACAAAATTAACAAAGCTTACCCCATTAAGTACTTGTCGGTTAGCTGCTTTCATTAGCTCAGTAATGGCTCTATTATGCTGCAGTCTTACAGTACTAAACTCATCACAGAAGGCAAAAGGGGAGAGCAAACCTGTTCTCGTGAAAGCCTGTCGAAGTACTGCACAAAGGAACAGAAAAAGGTCACATTAAACACAGCTTGCCAATAAGACCATGTAAGCAGTTGTTTTCTGAAATGAGCAAACTTTATTTGAAAGAGAGCGCATCTGAAAACCTGAATGTTCAGTCACTTCTATCACAATGGCCCTTCCCATAGGGATAAAAGCTAATTAAACCCAAACTAGAGTTGCTCTGGGGGAATCCCTTTGCATAATGCAGCTAATTGCCATGCATTTTGTCGCATTTCCTGCTCTCTCTTATCTCAGCGGGTGAATCATTCAAACATTCACCTGTTCACTCCTTACCTTTGTACCACATTCTCTCAGAGAAAAGAGCAACTCAAAGCATGAGGACACCCATACAGTAAAGAGGCACTACAGTGTTATTCTAATTCCCATATCAGCTCACATTTGTTTAAGTACTGTAGTAAAGAAATCACCCACACCAAATTGCTGCATACTGCACAGCCAGGTTAAGCAGTGCTGTGACAGAAAGAACTGATACTGGAGATGGGTGCAACCGTAAAGACAGTACAGGAAATGTACTGCAAACACTTAGGAGTTGCAAGATCTTCAACTTGCTTGCAAGATTTTCTTTGGTACTGAAACTTCAAAATCAGCCTGTTATCTCTCAGTGGACATAAAGCACGCTGAAGTGAACCTATAAGGAACTGGGAATTTTGCAGTAAGAGCGTTATGGACACTTACATGCAACAGAAAAGTGGGGGGAAAAATCCACCCAAGCCAACATGACCTTAGTAGCCACAATCACAAAACAGATACGATTACTGCAGTACCACTTGGAAACCAGCTTCAACTCTACCAATGCAGCACTATCATCTGCCACAGAAGCACACTGGGAATGGAACAGCTGCACCATCAGCAAGGGGCACAGGCTGCATCAAACCCAGGCCCCTGAGAGAGCCTGTGAGTAACCACACCTTAACCAAGGCCCTCAGGTCATAAGGGGGGACCATAAGGGCTCAACTACTATTGGCTTAAATAAAACCCTAATAATTCCAGGATACTTCGAGTCTTCTTACTGTCAGAGCTGGCAGTTATCAGATCACAGACAGACCTCAGTCTGTCCAGGACAGCAGTGTCTCCCTAATGGTGCTTGTGCCTCTTAAGTTCAGCCTAGACAGCTTAGGGATGATTCAGTTCTTCTCTTTTCCTCACGTTCCCATGCCTCCCAACTCCCCCCTGCACTTTATTTATAAATTTTGCATAACTGCTATTTTACTGACTGTACACATAATGGATGTATACCAGTATAAGTTGATCTCTACCTTTAAAATGTTGAAAAAAACAACCAGGTATTTTTAATGATTACTTACCATTAAGTAGGTAAGTATATGGCTAATGGTGAAATACTTCTGTAAGTTGGCGTCCCTACAGTTTTTCCTCTTCCTTCCCAATTCCAGAAATGTTTTATAAATTATTTCAACTACTGACATGATAGATAGATCTATCACATAGGGCAGCCTATACTTCGATAGGAAAGCCAACTTAGCCCTTTATAGAACAGAGAGATAAAGGATTGCAGAATAGGTTTACCTGCATCTTTGTAGAGATGTGACTTTTTCCCCCTATATAATATTTAGCATACAATGAAATAGACAAGTATAATGTTCCTTTCTCCAGTCCAATCACTTCTAAAAATAGTTTGTCTTTATAATTAAGTGTGTGTACACATCACAGTACAGAGCAGTCTTACCTTTCCAAGGTAAATTCTCTTTATATAGTAAAGATCCAACCCATCTGTCCAACATCTAAGTCTCAGCCAGCACAACCTTTGCAGATTACTTCATTTTAACCTATACAGGTTTAACAGGTTAAAAAATCCAGTGCCTTAATATTTTACTGAAATGATCTTAAATCATGAATCAGGCCTATCAGCATAGGCTGGCCTTACCCACACAGGGTGACCTCAACTTCTTACAGAAAGTTTCTTTTTCATCAGTCCTAAGAGCTATTTGTGGTTTTGTTCTTTTTTTGGCAAGTTCTTTTTTTTAATATAAAGATACAGCAAAACCTGGTGACAAACGCCTACACCAGACTTAAAGAACGAAAAAGTGAGTTGCCTGTTACTATAGGATGCTTCAAACAGAAGCAACATAACATGGCTATTTTTATTTTCTACAATGTATAGCATGTATATATACATGTATATACATGTATAGCAAGGAAAAAAAATGAAAGACGGTTTCTGAGATCATTATATACATGCTTAAATGAACAAAATACCTAAGATAAGCCACACACCAAAATGAACAGATTTCAGGAGAAACACCTCACGTCTAAGAACGCAAGCTCTAGAATTATGTCAAAGGATTCTGTTGAAAAAACATGGGACTTCCAAAATCGCTTACTTTGACTTCAGAAAACATAATTTCAGCAGACGTGGAGAAGACAATGCCACAGCTACTTCTTGATAAATATTTCTAACAAGCCCCTCTTTTATCTGTTTTCAGATCCGATTTAATATCACCACAAAGTACAACCTCCCTCAAGCAAATTACCTTGCTTTCGCTTCCCTTCCTGTGACACAACTCTCATGACTTAACTGAAAGAGAACTGCCTGTTCTTTGTACTGACAACTGCAGTGGTATTCATTTATTTATTTTTTCAGAAAACAGAGGCCCTCGGTACCAATTAAGCTGACTTGGAGTCTTCATCCTCTCCTGAGAACTACTCCTGTCACCCTACAGGATGAAGCCCGGAGCCTCTCACTGACAGAGCTCTGCAATGCCGAACACGCGGGCACGTAATGCCGTAAGGAAGAACTGCTCTTACTAACTTCGGAACAAGCACCTCGAGTGCACGGGGTTGTGCGTGTACATGTGGCACAGGTGCTCCAGCAGCGACACCAGGAGCAGCTGGTTCTGGATGGTCGAAGTGAAATTCACAAACTTCTGCGACCCATTGGCCACTCGCAGTTCTGCCGGCACATCCGACTCTGATGAAGAGAAGTCACAGACCGAGTTAGCTCACCTTACGTCGCCGTCCGCGCACCGAATCGAAGCCCGCAGCGCTCCCACAGCTCAGCGCGGCGCGGCCTCGCAGAAAGGCACCGGCTGCTGCTGAGCGAGAAGTTCGAGGCGCTCACCGGAGACCGAAACACGACTAATGCTTTGAAACACCTCCAGGCGAACCGAACCGCCGAGGCTCCCGCGGCCGCCTTCGGCCTCCATCAGCCCCGGCGCCGCCTCTCCTGCTCCGCCTCTCCACCGGCGGCACCGCGGTGCTCCGACCTTCCCCACGCAGAAGGAGCCCCCCCCCCAACTCCCACCCCTTCCTCCCCGCGGCTCCTCCCGAGGACGACCCGCGTACCGTCGAAGCGCGGCTCCGGGCTCTCCTCAGGGAATTGAATGGCGGGCGGCCGGCGGCGGGTCGCGGCCTTCGGGGCGACCTCCCGGCCCCGCCACATGCCCGGCGCTGCGCCCGCGGCCTGCTCCGCCGCCGGCACCTGCCCGCCTCTGCGCAGGGCGGGCCCAGGGCCTGGGCGGGCGCTTTACGGTCGCTCCTGGAGCACAGGGCGGAAAAACCCCATCCCCGGGGGGGGGGGGAAGTAACGGGGCCGGAGGCAAACAGAGCCGGCAAAGGGCCCGGCTCAGCGCGGGCCGCCGCCTCCTCGACCCGGGGGCCCCTAAGCGCCCCGAGAACCGGCCTGCGGCCGCCCCGCCTCGACCCTACGGAGGTGGCAGCCCTCAGGCCCGGCTCCGAGCGGGGGTCGCCGAGCCCCCCCTAGCGGCTCCCGGCGGCGGCACAGGGGCGGTGCCGGTCCCCGAGTGACCCGGAGGAGCTCGCTTCTCCCCCCGCCGCCGCCGCCGCCGCCGCCGCCGCCTTCCCTCCCCCCGCCCGCTCGGCCGGCCGGCGCCGGGCCCCGGATGCAAGAGGCCAGCGGAGGGACGTCATTGTTCCCCGACGGGCTGAAAGTGGAGGCGGAGCGGGCTGGGCTGAGGCGGGGGCTGCGGCGAGGGGGACCCGGCAGCGCCGAGTCGAGCGCGGCCGAGCCAGGTAATGGGGCCGGGGAAAGCGGCGGGCCCGGCACAGCACGGCAGCACCGCGTGCGCCTCCCGCCTGGAAATCAATGGGCCGGGGGGAGGGGCCGGCCCGGGAAGGGGAAGCGCCCGGCGACAGCCGCCGGCTCGGCTCGGCCCGGCCCACCCCGCGCTTTCCCGCTGCCCGGCGGGAGGCCGGAGGGGGTGGGACCACCGGGCGGGGCGGGGCGGGGCGGGGCGCCGCTCCCAGCACAGCGATGCAGCGGCGCAGCGGCGCAGCAATCGTCCGGCCCCGCGACCGTCTGGCACCGGCTGCCTCTCGCCGTCTCCCGCCGCCTCCGTTATGCGCCGCGTCCCGCCCGCCACCCGCCTCTCCGTTATCCTCCCGCCGCCAACGTGCGGACCCGGCACGGCGTCCCGCCCCGGCCGGAGGGTTTCGCGTCGCCCAGATCCCGCTCGGCGGCGCCCCGTTGTTCCCGCCGGCTCGGAGCCTCACGCCCCGCCGCCGCCGCCGTCGCCGCCGCCGCCGCCGCCGCCCGCACAGGGGGTCCCGGCCCGCCTCGCCTCCCCACCCCCCCCGGCTCCGTGGAACCCGGCCCCGCCTTCCCCGCCCCGTTGCCATAGTCAACCGTCTCTCCGCGGGGCCAACCCCTCGTCTCTCCTGCCGCCGTCGGGCCGCGAAGCGCCGGTACGGACGCGGGAAGGGAAAAAAAGCGGAGCCGGGCCGGGAGGGCGGGCGTTGGGGCGGCACTCCGGCGGAGCAGGGCGGTGCGGGCCGTGGGGCGCTGCTGGGGGCGGGCGGAGGGGCCGCGCGGCCGTCGCCTCTCGGACGTTAGCGGCCGTGACCCCGCGGCTCGGTTTTGTTTCGTGCGTCCGTCCCGCTTTGTACGGCCGCTGTTAATTTTGTAATAAGACGCGCCGCGAGCGCTCCCTCGGTGCCATGCACAAAGCCTTAAGCGGTGACTTAGGATCGCAGCATCGTCGCGGCTGGTGGATCTCGCCCGCTCCCATCCCCGGCCCGGCCCCTCGCATCTCGCCGCCGCTCTGCTCTCCGCCGTGCGGGGCTGGAGCCGAGCTCGGGACGGGGCAGCGCTTCGCCGCCTTACCCGAACCGCTGACGTCTGATTTCCTTCTCAGTGTGTTGAGGAAAAGTCTGCAGACGCGAAAGTGCAGAGATAACACCTGAAGCACAAACCGTGTCCGTTCATTTTCGGAATGTTGTAGGAACAGAACTCGTATGTACGTATCTGTAGGATAAAGGAAAAGGAAATGCGGCTGATATCTGTAGCTTTAATACTTCTTTGTCAGAGATCAAATTAGACAGCGATGTAATTTGAAAAAGTGTATCTGGTGTATTCTTTCTGATGCTGGTACCTGCCTGCCACTGTGTTCTATTGGTATGTAAAAATGGAGCCCTGGGCGGCCCAGTGAAATGGATTGTAAGGTTTGCCTCATTGGTCATTGCGGTGCTCCCGGGTTGTGTGGAATAATGTTCTTCCCTTTTCATTGCCATTTTGATTCTGTTTCTTGTCCCTCAAATAGGTTTTAAATATGTTGTTGAAACTTTTTCCCTTTCAATCAGAAAAAAAGATGTCACTGGTATCTGCAGTTTGAAGACTGGATCTTATCTGAAAGTCACTGATCCCAGGCGCTGCCACCTTAGTCTTCCCATAGGACAAGGATGCCTTCGATTCTCAGTTAAATGAATTTTTTAGTTTTGCATATTGTTTTCTCTGAAATGAAAAATGTATATGGAATGGATTTGAAATGATTTTTTAACTGAAGATTTAAAGAGAAAAATATATAATTTGAGGCTATGCGCACAAGTTGTCATTTGTGGGACTCAAATTTACTGTGCTTTGTTCAGTATATTGTAAATCTAATGAATAGCAATCAAGTTTTACCATAAATCTGAAGTCACTTTACCCTGTTCTCAGTCAGTCCAGTATAAGGAACTGGCTGATGGTTTCAATCCCTGCTAGGTTGGTTCCCTACACCTAGTGTGAGTGCTGCAGAAAACATTTACCCACAGACAGTGATAATTCCTCCCATCATTGTTCAGCTCCTTACTACATATACACAGTTACACGTCTTTAACGTGGTGTCATCTTGAAACCTAAGCAGCATTTCAAAAAGGACTTTAAATCAGTTACTGACGTTGTCCTTGAGGGCTGAGGGTCTTTTTGCCATTTCCTTTTTATGGCTTACATTCCTCTGCTGTTTTGCAGCAGGGAAATGCAACTTTACAAAGTGGAACTGAAACAGAAAGCCCAAAAAGCATCTAACTTTTCAGCTTATAGGAGGAGTTGTGAGTGTTAGTAGTGCTGCCAGAGTTATACCCAAAGCAGTATTTCATGGAGGGGTCAAAGAAACTTTGGCAGAAAGAAGTGCACACGCATTTTCTTAGTCTCCTTTCCCAAGATTTCTCTGGGTGTTGAGGCTCAGAGGTATGCAGCTCGCAGGAGTGCAGAGAGGCTGAGTATCTCCTCCTGAATGTTAGCATGGCAGGGCATGGATGTCCCTCTCCTTATAGCTCCTATTGGCTGGGAAAACGCACCTCGTGGTACTGACCCAACAGCCCTCACAGACTGACTCAGAATCACTAAATGATGTGAGAACGCTATGTAAAAGCTGTTACAGAATAGTATTTAAAAGCTGTTATGGTAGAATTGCAAGAAACCCTTTTTGATTGATACAGTAGACTGTGAGATAGAAAATGAGTATTGGAAAGAAAGCAAAAAAGTAACAGCTAAATGCAGTTACTTTTGTGCACACAAAACAGAAACAGGCAGGCTTTAAAGTCGTGGTGCTCTGACACCAGCAATAGGTGAATAACTACTATCCCTCAGAGAATGACATATATGTTTTTACATTTAAAAAAATCAACACACCATAACTGTAATAGATTAAAATCCCTTGAAAGTGAAAATGTCATCAGTTGGTAGTTGTGCAGGAGTTAAGGTAGTACCCATAGAGTTTTGGTAGAAATTTTGATTTTGCATGTTTGGGGTTTTCTTTAAGGCCTTTACATGAGCTATTAGTGGTTAGCTATTCAATTCTTCAGGCTATTTCTTTGAGATTAAGTCACAGAATTTCTTCTGCTCTTCTCTTTGTGTAGCGCTGACATTCTTATGTCAACCAGCACTTCTATCTCTGTTGCAGATATGAACAATGACCATAGATAACAAGCCAAAATCTTCAAAGGCCAAAAAGTCCTCATCGAGACAATCCGGTAAACCCAGGAAACCCCGTACTAAAACTATGAAGTCACGCACTGCAAAAAACCAAAACCAGGTCTCTGAGAACGAAGGACGTGGAGGTGCTATTTATTGTAAATCATCTGAAAAAGTTAGACCTTTTTCCGTTGAAGATTTAAGTAAGTGTGGTCTTTTATAGTGCTTCCATTTTCTTCAAAGCAAAACAAAAGTAGGAAATGCAGTTCTTACTTGTTGCACTGATGTGAAATGGGACTGCTGGGAATAAAGGCTTCAGTAGATTTCAAGTTAGTGAATTGACAAAGACAACTGAAGCGGATCGGTGTTGCAGAACCCAGTCTTGATATATTTGCAGTCTATGCTGAAGTATGGGGATAATTTTTAATACACAGATTCATCCATGTCTTTGTTTGGCAAAGAGAAGTGCGCTTTGTTGTTGCCATGCACAAGTTTTTGAATGGTAACAGTGCTCTGTAGTGCTGTCTTCTCTGATAGTTGCTTGTTTTTACATTGCCCATCACCACCGTGTGTTACCAGCAAATTGGAGTGGTGATATTAAAGCTGTCTGTAATAAGACCTTCTGGTTTGGATTATTGTTGGTTCTTGTGGATGCTCCTGCAGAATGCTATATTTTAAATATTTGTTTTTTAAACAGAGCAAAAGCCCTTATGTTTTAAAATACAACTTTCTTGCAGTCATCAATGATGGAATTGCTCCACCAGAAAGGATTCTTTTTCCACCTGAGAAGATTTGTATGGATTGGCAACAAACACAAAATGGAGTTGGAGTTGGACTCTACAATCTTGGCAATACGTGTTTTATTAATTCTATTCTACAGTGTTTGACCTACACACCCCCACTCGCCAACTACATGCTTTCCCTTGAGCATACCCAGTCGTGTGAGTACTTGTAACACGGTTTGAAATCTGTGGGACAGCTCTGAGGTTGAAATAGCAGCAGTGATTCTCTGAAGAAATTGTACTTATCTGATCTTACCTGTAAAAGTTGGCTTTGAACATTGTATTAACAGTGGGCCCAGAACAGCATATGGAGTGATTTTGCCTTTAATGTAGCACGGTGAGGGAAGAAAAAAGAAAAAAAAAAAAAAGATTTCTTGCTTTGTGTAAATAATGAAACGCGTTGGAAAATAATGCATTTCATTTGGCATCTGGGGTTCCTGGTAGACAGGTGATAAAATTTAGGGTTCTGGCATCACAGATCCTTAGTCTTCACAGCCTAGAATCCATAATACGCTATGCTGGACTAAATGGTGTGATCATTGTTGAACCAGTTGAAAAACAACAGCAAAAACAACAAAAAAAAATCACTATAGAAAGCAATATGAGCTGGGCTGTTACCAACTCAACTACAAATTTCAATGTATTAAAATGTAGACTGACTTCGTCCTAAATAAAGTCTTGTATTTTATTTACTCTTTTCTTTGAATTTTATACTTGAATTTATTTAAGCCTAGGAGACTCTTATCATGCCTGTATATGTGTGCATTTACAAAGGCACCTGTATGCTTTCTAATTTGCTATCTTAGTATTTCTTTCTAGAAATTTAACTGTTTTCTTACTGTATGTAAAAGTTGTTTCAAGTAAAAATCTCTTTGAAAAAAGGAGGGCAGAAGTATTATAGCATACATTACTTTCATCTTTCCTTTCTCCCAAAGGATTCTTAGCTCTCTACCAAGAAGCTCACCTGACAGCAGTGTGCTGAAAATAACACATGTTCTCTTTATGCTGCATCATCAGTGTCCTATGTTCTCTCCTCATGTATATGTCTGGAGTTGACATTCCTGTCAGCCTTTAAAAAAAGTGACTTTGAAGTAGTTTTCTAGGTTTCTCATCAGAAAATACATTTTAGTACAGGCTTGGTGGATATTTTTACTCTATATAAAGAGTTTTGTGTAACAAAACGTCACAAGACTGCTGAGATATTGGCATCTTAGAAGAACAGAATGGAGCATGGATGTTGTGTCCTCAGTTAAGACTTATTTCTTTGTAGCTATGTATATTTCATTAGACTGCGATGCTTTCTTCTTTCACCGTGCAGGTAATTGTCAAGGCTTCTGCATGATGTGCAGTATGGAAACTCACATTAACCGAGTCCTGTGTTGTGCTCTTGATGCCATCAAGCCTGTAGTTATTGTCCATGAACTTAAAAGTAAGTGATTTCAGCTGTTTTTCTTTTTTGATATCTTTTAATATTTGGAGATGATGTTACAAATCGTTCTGTTACTATCTGGAAGAGAGGTTTTAGAAATAAAGTTTTCTTTCATTTTTATATGAGATAAATATTATAACCTTTTTATTCATTAGGAATAGCAAAACATTTCCACTATGGTGCTCAGGAAGATGCGCACGAGTTCTTACGCTTCACTGTTGATGCTATGCAGGAAGCGTGTTTGGATGGATGCCCCATGTAAGCATAAATTACTTCTCTAGCACCTTTCTGTTCTCTATTTACTGTCATAAATGAAAGTCTGTCCATGGCTTTCATAGAACTCTTTGAAAAGTTCATTCTGTATCTCAAATCTTCTGAGGTCTGATTATCATTTGTTTCCAGACTAGACAGATCTTCTCAAGCAACCACCATCATTCATCAAATATTTGGAGGATTTCTAAGATCCAGAGGTACTTTAAAAACAATATTACTGCCCTCAGAACTGATCTGTATCTTCTGTAGTAAAGCACTTTGTAGTGTGACTTAAGCAATATGTATCATTAGTTGGAGACTGGGCAGTTAGTCTCTTTCACATATTGCTTGTAAAGCATTTGTTGTTTGTTTGTTTTTAAATCCAGTAAAGTGCTTGAACTGCAAAGCAGTTTCGGATACATATGAGCCATACCTTGATATACCTCTGGATATACAGGTAAGATTTTTTGTAGATATAGTTCAAGATGTCTAAATACATGTGCAACTTTCTAAAATAATCTCACTCAATTTAAAAATGTTGTTAAAACAAGAGCCGAGTGGTGATTGGGAAGTGGGATGGACTTTGTCCTTCTGTGGAAGCATTGTAAACCATCTCCACATCTGCATTGGCTTTAAGCTGGAAGAATAACTACCGTATTTACGCAAATGGTGATACTGTTGTACTTCTTTGTTGTTCTACCTCAATATGAATGTAATTATTAGACTGATTGTCCCCATTACTGATGACAAAGTACACTGCAGATGCTGTTTGTGGTATTGCAGAATTATTTGTTTCAAAGTAAGATTGCTTTCAAATCAGGTATGTGCTGAGCATACTCTTTCTGCTTCTTTCTTCACAGTGCTTGCTGGTTCATAGTAGATCTCCTAAGTATGAGTTAGCAAGATTCTCTCATAAACTACTAGTAAGTCTTTGGAATTTTGAATTTCCTTTGACTAATGCTCTTCTTTCTTATCTCTCCAGCACATTTCTTCTGTTATCGAAGCTCTAGAACAATTTGTGAAACCCGAACAGCTGGATGGAGACAATTGCTATAAGTGCAGCAAGTAAGATTATTACTAGTTACGTATTTCTATTAGATACTGGATTAATGTACTGCATGACTTAGACCATAAGCTACTTTTTTACTTCATTTGGAAATAATGAGACACAGCTCCTTTGTTGTTGTCTTTGCTTCATTTTGTTTAAACAATTAATGAACTGAAATAATTAAAACTTGAAAATAATACATATTTTGTAAATGAAAGAAGTGAAGCCTTTAGCTGACATTATTTTATTCAAGTGTTGTCTGCTCTGTGGCTTGTCATGCCTCCTAGATGTGTGTTCTGAGCTCAAATATTCCTATTGCCAGAATTTAAAAGATGACTGCTTCAGCTCACTGCTGCTTATCAAAGGGCTATGGACTGTAATTTGGGATAGGAGTCAACAGCAGGTTGCTGAAGATCCTAGCATTCCCTGGGAAACAAAGTTAGACTTAGTCTCAGTGAATGCGAGCTGGCTCCATGATCAGTCATGTTAGCAGCCTCTGCTGGCTCACAATACAGTGCCTTGAACAGTTCTTGATATGTAGAACATGGGCTATTGCTGTCTTAAGTGAACTACCTTCCACCTACCCTTCACTTGGTGAAAGCGTATCAAGTTAAGATATGAAAAACATTGCTGTGTATGTGAGAAGTAATTGAACATCTGTACGATACACTTTGGTAAAACAAGTTGTTCTTCAAACAAGTACTCAGAAAAGCAAAGTCTGCCAGGCTCGTTTCTGTAGGATTTCTGTCTGGCACTTCCAAGTGCAAAATGCAGTATCTGCTTTTTGTTGTTGGAAAACTGTAAGAAAATTGGTAGGTTGAATGAAGAGCATCCCATAGGTTGTTAAAATAAGTGAACCCCAAGTTAATTTTAGTCTGTGGATCCTAGACAGCAACATGTCGTGTATTCAGAATTCTCATAACTTGCAGATTGTGTCTGATGAAGAGTAAGTGTAACAAGCACCTCACCTATGAATTGCACAGCCCTTCATTACGTGCTCTGTGCAGCTGAGTCACACACAAAGCTGGGATTCTCAGCCTTTTTGCAAATTTGGAAAGAACAGCCTTGTGATTGTACAGTACCTGGTCCTCTGCTGATAAACAATCCCATTCCTTCCTTTTTTTGCAATTGATGTGTCTTTTCATTCCTGAGATGATTTTTTTTTTCTAGTAAAGGTGACTGCCTTAAAACTTTGTATCTAATTACAGTTTTTGTGTAATTCTATAAAATGCTTGGATTTTTTTGTTTATTTTGAAGAAGGGATTCTTTTTTGATCTTAGGCATTCTCTTCTCGTTTGAACTCTCTGCCTTGTATTTTGACAGCAGAATTTGAAGAGAGACACTTTTATTCTTTCTTTTTATTAGCTATCGACAGTACTTTTCTCGAGGAAGTCTTCGTGCCAGTGGTTGTATTTTGCAGCTTGCACTGTAGATCCTGCCTTTGAGTGGGCAATGTACCAAACGTAAAATTAACACTTGTGTTCCAAAGAGTTGCAGATAGTTTCAGTCTCTTTTCAGACAACATCTGTACAGAAAGACATAAGTCAGACATCTCCTTCTTGTAGAATGATTGTGCTTCTCTTGTGTTTTTGATGCTAATAGATGATCCATTTTGGAAATTATTTGCTGTAACTAGTCCTTAGGGCTGAGGCTCCCTTGTTCCACTTTCAGTTTATCCAGGACACAAGTTCTGAGAAGCCATTTTTGTGTAACAAGAAATGGTACCTTGCCTTACCATCCAGTGATGTAACCTGATGATAGGTTCGTGTTCGTGCTGCACTCTGAGCTGTTGTGAAGCCTTACCTTTTAGGCGTAACAAAAGTACTTGTTCAGACATTTGTTTGGCTATCAGAAGAAAATGTTCTAAATCCTTTATTATTTTGTTCAGTAGAGATGTCCTCTTATATCCTCCTATCTGCTTTGTATTAACAAACCTGAAAGGCAGTGTAGGATTTATGAAAGAAAAATACATGTTATGTATTTTGTATGTTTGTTTTGGGTGGAAAAACAAGATGCTTTTAACCAGCTGTCTGTGCTTGTTTTTAAGATGCAAGAAGATGGTGCCAGCAACAAAGAGATTTACAATACATCGTTCTTCCAATATTCTCACGCTATCACTGAAAAGATTTGCAGATTTCACGGGCGTGAAGGAGACCAAGGTACATTTATAGCTGTAGTACAGCTCTGTCGTCTTGGAATTGGACTTTCCCAAAGGCCAGATATTCAGAGTGCCCCTCTGCTGCCATCTGTCACACAGCACCATGTCACAGAATGTTGGTGAGAAGGTTCAACCCTCTGTTGCCATCCCACCAGCAGCAGCTGTCATGAGCTGACATCATGAATCAGGAGGCATTACTTTTGAAGTAACCCTTGTAATTCTAATCTTTGTTTTTTTGGAAATGTTGTTCCCAGGCTTGTTTGCCAAGCTAGCCAAAATGAAGAATTTGGAAATAATGTTTGTATCTTCTTGTTCTCTCTTCAGGATGTTGAATATCCTGAGTATTTTGACCTTGGAGCTTATATGTCTCAACCAGATGGAGAACCACTCATTTATGCCTTATATGCAGTTGTGGTTCACAGCGGCGCCAGTTCTCAGACAGGACACTACTTCTGCTTCATAAAGGTAGATACCAACATCATTCTAGCATGGTAAAATCTGTGCTGCTAAACCAGTTCAAATGTTATTGATAACCATTGTTTCTAGAGTAGAAGATTTCATTATATGTTTGTGTATATGTTGTTCTGTGGTGTCCTGTTAGTGATTTCATTTGGAAAACAAGCAGTTATCTGAAGATTGTCTTTATTTGCAGGCTGCTGATGGATTTTGGTATCAGATGAATGATTCTGCAGTAGTGCGAAGTAACATCGAAACAGTCCTTGCTCAGCAAGCTTATTTACTATTTTATACCAGGTAATAACAAATATTAAAATGTGTTCAGAACATATTTACTTTCCTGTTATTTACACTTTTCTTCTTTTCAAATGTTTTTCTATCTGTTCTAGAAAAATACTACTTGTATTATTCAACTCTGCCTAGCTTGAAACTCCCTGTCATTTTTTAGTGTTCACTGCTTGGCCTTAAATTGCTACTCTTTGCAAATTGCTATGCAGCTGTTACGTGTAGCTGGCTAATTTAGAAAAAGGGAGAAAGCGAGGTGGTAAGTTGCGTAAGACTCAGTTATTACTCTGAACGGAATCGTATGAAAACCACTATCTATTTTTTAGTTTGTAGTCTTGTTTAAGTCTTCCATACATGACTTCTGTATCCTATGAACTGTTCCTCTAAAACTTTCGGATAGGATTTAATCCAAGAGCAGGCTGAAAGACAAACTCTAAACTAAGCTCACCACTCTTTTCTGAAGGTGCTACGATTTCACACTTGGAGAACGTACTCTTTACTTGCCGCCTCATCCCAGTTCACTCGTCGGTCAAAAGGAGACTAATCGTAAGCAGGACAGCTTTATGGGACCACGACTTCCTCCTAATATGATTAAGGTAATTGAGCGGAGTAGGGAATGGTGGGGAGCAGATAATGGCACTAAATTGATAGTGGAGTGTGGGATTTTTATTTGTTTTCAGCATCTTAGTTTTATTTTCCTTTCCCCTGTGCAGCTTTCTTCAGAGCTTTCTTATGCTACTATTTAAATAGTCTACTAATACTTAAATAACTAAAAAAATATTTTTCCTATCAGTGTCACTTTAGGTGAGACAGTGAAATCCATTTGTCTTATATCTGATCACCAGAACAATTATTTTGCGGTTTTCATGGTATGTTTAAAGGAGAAAATAAGTGTATTTGGGAATAGCTTTCTACAGTGTTGTTTGAATGGATTTCAGAAGTGACATGCATTTGAAAGCAATATGCAGTGAACCTAGGAAGTAACCATTTATTGGACTTGCCTTTGTATTTGAAGGGTGGTGGGTTTTTTTTCTTTTTAGGTGTTTAGATAATTTGTAGAATTTGCATTTATCCATCTTGCAATCTCTTCTTTTTAAACACAGAATTCAAGTCGCTTAAATGGAAAGATACCTTCAAAAGACGAACCCAATACCGTAGGTCTCATCTTAAAAAGGCCATCTTCAGCTCCACCCATAGCTTGTGCTGAAAACTGGACAATGGTCAGGCCTTCAATCATCAACCCATCAATAGATCAGACGCTCGTTATCGGTCTTAATAACAAATTGCCTGAACGTGATACACTGTCAGAGCCTGACTGTCTTCTTGCTCTGGAGGAGGATGAGACTATATCTATTCCTTCATCCACAGATACAAATCGTGCAGCAGAGTCTACCTCAAATACACCTACAATGTTAGCTGCTGCTAATATTTTCGAACAAGATGTTCTGGATGACATTTTCACTGAGCCAGTGGTGAATGGAATTCCTGAACTCTGCTCTGATAACGCAGTCTTTTATTGTACAGAATTTTTAAGAAAACCTGAGGAGGAGAAGAAGTCATCAGAGGACTTACGTACAAGGAATGACAAAATAATATCTCCCAAGGGAATTTCGTTTGAAAAGGTCTGTACATTGCAGGATTCCCATTCTTCCTGTCAGAATGCTGAAGAGGAAAGATCCCAGCATGAGCTGCCAAAAAATGATTCACTAAGTGGTGCTAATAGTTTAGATAATGAACCTAAAGAAAATGGACTGAAACTTGATGATTCCAGTTGCCAAGTCCCATCTGCTAAACCTTCAAAAATGTTATTTTCTAAAACCAATGGAGTGCTTAAAACAGTAAGTTATGCTTTTTCCATCTAGAATTTCTCACCTATGATGTATTCAGGAGTGCTATAATGTTCCCAATTCATGTGAAATACTGAGAAAACAACACAAATTTCTTCATAGCACTATGTCATATTATCCTATTAGAATTTGCAGAGCTGAGCAGATATTAAAACGTACCAACTTAAGTACAGTTGGGATAAAACTTCATAAATTTCATAAAGTATATTTTTGGGAGTGAGTTGGTGTTGCATGTAAAGTGCAGCCAGCACATATAACTCAAAGCAGCCTTGCATAAATTTAATGCAGAATTTCTGAAAACGCTAGGCTGCAATACTGCTACAAATACCTTTTGTTTTCTGCCTGTTAATTTCTACCTTTTAATTGCAGATGCCTGTAACTTTGTATCCAGCCTCTCGAGAAATGCTAAATTCCTTTAAATACGGCCAGTTGAACAGCTTGTCAGAGGAAATAAGGTAAAGTGAAAACAGTTTCATTACAAGGTTTTATGCAACTTTTTCATGGTTTTACCTGCCTACATATTCTTTAATTGGAAGATTTAAGTCAGTGAAGAGAATTCTATACCATATGTCTAGTGTAACGAGCAGAACTGGTGATCAGCACAGTGCCTATTACTCTGACGCACATTGGTGCCCCGTGGAAGACTTCTGCTTCTTCATAGAATGTTTTTCCATTTTTTACCCTTGTCTGTTGAAGTGTTGTCTGTTTCTCCTTTTTTACAGCACTAGCATATGTAAATGTAAATTTTCATCACCTGCTCTCTCATTTGGGGGACAGTGAGAAATCTGTGTTTCAATTGTTGTTTTTTCTAGTTGGAATGGGAGAGCAGATAGAGCGGTTTTGGCTATTGATGGTAGTCAGATCAGCACGTGGAAGAAGATAGATGTATTGGGCTTGTTTGTTTGTTTGTCTTGTTGCAATACAACCAGAAACAAGATGGAAAAAAAGCACTTTTTCTGAAAGCTGAGGAGAGTGTAATAATCAAAAGATAGGTGTTTAAATTGGATGTCTTGAAGAGGGTTCCAGTAGTCATGAGGTTTTTGGTGGGTGGGTTGTGGTTTGTTGGTTGGTTGTTTTATTTAGATTTGTGCGACAGACTCTTACTTTTAATATTCATCTCTTTCAACAAAAGTGTTTTTATTCTGTGTAGTGTCCCTGGACCTCAGAAATCTTCTGAGAACAATTGTCTTATGGAAACAGGAATGATGAATGCGCTGTTGGTCTATGAAGAATTCCAAAAACTTCCTTCCGTCTTGAACTATGACGGTGCGGATCTTTTTATTCAATCGGATACTGAAATTAGTTCTGCCAAAGAAGAAGTTGCCGAAAGTATTGTAACAAAAGCTGATAATGCACAACCCAATGTCAGTGGTCAGCACGAGGTTAGGAGAGGATCCTTGGACACTTTAGATGAATTCCTTTTAAATTTTGAGCCTGAAGACAGTGGTGACAAAGACGAACTTTTAAGATCAGAAGAACTTGATCTCATTGCAAAAGAAAATCCTTTGTATAGTGAAGTGTCTCCTGAGACTGAAGAGGAATTAGGACAGGCTTCCTCTATAAAGTCTGATTTTGAATGTAGTTCTAAAGGACCACCGTGTCTAGGTACTGGAGATAAATGCCAAGATACAAAGGACATATCTAATAACTATGTAGACGTACCACCTGTTAATGACTCTTCTGTTACAAAGCTGGATAAAGTTTTGGAGAGTCAATTTTCTAGAGAAAACAAGGGGCCGACTAATAGGAATTATGAAGAAAATAAGCATAAGAAAAAAGGTAAAAAGTTACATGATTCTAAAACAACTGACAAAGGGCACTACAGAAGAAAAAAAGAACACTCTGATACAGAAGAGAGGGAGAAGCAAAAGAGCAAACGGGGTGGTCATTTCCACAGAAGGAGGTGCTCTCGTAGTGTGGAAACAAATAAGCAAAGTCGTCACAAGCAGGAGTATTGGAATGGAAACAGATACAGATCTTCCCATACTGAAAGAAACAGCCCTGATGTCAGCAGAAGCTCAGGGAAATATTGTCATTACAGATCTCAAAGCAGAGGACGTGAACAAGATAGGAGTAGATATTACTGTTCCAAAGAGGAGAGAACTTGGAACAGAGAAAGATACTATCAAGATGAATCCTGGAGATGGCAAAAATGCAGACACTACAATGATTACTATTATTCTCATGCAAAAGGAGATAGTCGAGAAAGAAAGTTCTCCCATTACAATAAAGATTATGACAAATCAAGTCATGCTTGCACCAGGCCACATAAGGATTATCATTACAAAAGCAGACGGCCTCACAACTCACTCTCTAGAGAGAAGGATGTACGTCACTTTAGCAGTCACAGAGCACACTCACAACACTGTTCACTAGCCTGGCAGCAACCTGAAAAGTATTCTCATGAAAGACATATACTTCCATCTGTTCCATCAACTCATTTAAATCGTGGGGACTTCTCCCCCAAAAATGAAAAACGAAATGACTGGAAAAGAAAATATGCAGAAAGTAGTGAAAGTGAAACAGAAAGGAAAAGCAGAAAGGTAGAAAAAGAGGTTTTGGATGAGCAAAAGATGGAAAAATTCAAGAAAGCCAAGAAGAAGTCCAAAGATAAACATCGAGAGAAGGATTACAAGTAAGCAAGGATTCCAGCATACTCAGCAATTTCTTCCTAGTTCTTTTCTGGGTGTTTCTCGTATCTTCCTTCTTTTTCATTGTTTCTAACTTAGTTTTATAGCATGATCTGGCTGGGGACCATGTTGTTAGGTTGATCAATTGAAGATAGGAAAGATTTAGGTGAATTGTATTAGAACACTGTATTTGGACCACATAGTTAGAATCACATCTGCTTAGCATTCTCAATTAGCTAAAAACAGGTTTTTTTTTAATTGCATATATTCCAGAACTAGCCAATGTTAGTGATTTGTTTACAAACCAGGATCTATTGTCCTTCAATCTGAGGGCTTAAGTTTGCCGCATCTATAGTTAGATGTGCACAAAGTACCACAAAATAGCTGACATGCTGCAAATCATCATCTGTGGTAAAATAAGTAACATTTCGTATATACATCAAGTGCTACATCTTTTTTCTATTTTTAACGTGCATGTTTCCTTCAGACATTATGATTCGGATTCCTCTGTGCTCCACTTTGACAATGACAATCGCAAACATAAGAAAAAAAAGAAAAAGAAGAAACACACCAGGAAGGAGAAAGGCATCTTGGAAAGCTCGGATCTTCGTTTCCAGAAGCAAGCATGGGAGAAGGAAGAATCTCACTCTCCTGGTGACTGTTTACGTGAGCAATACGGAAATGATGGCAGTAGACAACCTGACAAGGAAGGCATGCATTCCTGTGGGAGCAAAATCAAGAACTAGATCTCCATTGCATCCAATGAGAATATTAAAGGTAAGGGGCCACTGGACGTTCAGAGAATTTTTTTTCAATTCGCATGGAGGTTATTAAAACAGTCTTTAAATGGTTGCTGAAATCTTTGTAGTATGCACAGTCCATATAGTCTGCAGAAATATTTAAGAAGGAAGAGGTTAATAAGCTGGTTTTTTTCCCCTATGCTTGAAGGATCGCTAGGAAATAAAGTTTGAAGTAAAGAGGTGGAGAAACAAATCTTTTGGGTTTAGATTTGAAGGTTAAATGGCGAACAGGAGGGAGAGATGCAAAATATATTAGATTCAGTCCAACTAACTGGGAAAAATAAGGAGACAGAGTAGTTGGAAGAGAAGGGAGACTTCCAGGTTGGTACTGCTGAAACACCGTCTTCCTAAAAAAGACTGCCAGAATAATTTCTTTAAATAAAAGGCTATGTTCAGCTTTATTGTATGACAGAACTAGTGCTGACTGCTTATTCAGAGTAACATAAGTTGGTGGTAATACTGACACAGTTTTGTTTCAGGTGTAGATCTGCCTTCTAAGCGCACTGAATTCACAGTTCTTAACTCTCCAGAGAATCCTTTACCATGTAACACCTGGAGAGTATGTTAAATTCCTGCTGCTGTTTTACTTCTCGTTGAGTTCTTTTTCCTGTTAGTGTAGGGTTAAAAAATACAGAGAAACAGGCTGACAAAATAGCTGTTACCCATTTTTAGTATAAAAAAGTCAAGTTTGTATTTAGTTTTCTACAGAGAGAGTACCAAACTGAGTCCCTGGTTTAACTCATGCTGAACTCTGTTCCTCTCATCATCCTGACCTGGACACCCAGTAGATAATATAGTCTAAATTAATTAGCTCTGGTGTTATATGATGAGGAAGATTGCACACTGTAACAAATTCAGCCTCTAAACATCAAATTTGACAACATTTTCCACTATTTTTTTCCTAAATAGAGTGTGTGTTACTTAAAAACAACCATAGATGCCTGCTACTGACATGAGATCCCAGTCCCAATTACTCGGATATTTTAATAAGCACTCACAATAGGATAAATTAGTTAGGACTATAGAGACATACTGATTCAGCAGGGCTGTAAAGTTTCTAATGTTCACTTTTTTTTTTTATGTATTATATATAATCCACATATCTGTGTGTACAGAATATCAGTACTCTGAAAAATACTAGCTGCATTACTGGCAAGACTGCATCTGTTCTTGAAATCGATCTCCCTCCCTGTCCAAATGTGTTTACCTCTTACAGGTAACAAATGTAATCTCTGAAGAAGATAGCCTGCTATCGAAGGCAAGCTTCACCTTGAACTTTGACATTTTATACCTACCCATAATTATCAGATGGCTTAACAGTCCCTGGCAATCCCTTTTGATAATAGTCCAGTGTTGAAAATGTCATCCTGGTACAGGAAGCAAAGGAATTAATCTTCCTGCTTTACATTGAACTGCCTTTCCATATTTGGAGAAGTTGATTTCCAGAAGAGATTTTTACCTGCAGGAATTGCATTGCTTGGATAGGGAAGTAAATTGCCACAGTGGGTGGATTCAGGCACTGAAAAGTTTCCCCAAGGTGAAGTACAGTTGTTGAGGAGCATGATTGTATTGTGACAACCTGAAGTTTTAATCTAAGGATACGATATTTTGGAGAAGGCTGGCTGATCAATCATTACTGTGAGCTTTAATATTATATCTGTCCCTTTGCTGAAAAAAGGAAATGAGGACTATTACTGTTGTAAAAACCACACTTCTTATGATGCTAATTCAAAAGAATCCCAATTGTACTAAATTTTTAAGTATCTCTGTTTTAGTTGATCAATCAGGAACAACAGCACAGGTAAAAATGAATGTCCTCTAATGCTCTTCTGGCTCTAGTAAATTCTCTGGCCAACAGTTGGCAAATTGTTTTTCTACACTAGACAAAAATAGACTAAGAAAGTGTAGTGAAGGACTGAGCAGGACTTGTTAGGTTGTGCCTTTCATCCAGACTGATATTACTGTGAATAAATGAGCCAGGTGTAGCTCATGGCTTAAGGAAAAAGCAGAAATGACAAGTTTTAAAATCCTTATTTTCCTGCATTCATATGTCCTCTAGCAAGTTTCTGAAAGCTTCTGTTTTCGAAGCTGAGATTTGGTCAGGTTGACCACAAGATGATTAATAAAACAAAGATGCTGTCTAAGCTGACTTACAGGTAAGACGTGCCCTTTGCCGTTAAAGTGTTGTCGTAGTATTCTGTGCAGTTAGCAGAGTTGCTAGCATAGGACTGAAATAGAGTCACTTCACTGAGAGATTCTCAGGAGCCTTCCCCAGTCAGATCAGCCCTGCAGTCACAGAGTTGATCAAACTGCACGCAGATTTGGGACCTCTCTGTTTAGAAATAAGGACAGTGAGTCAAACAGCTACACCTTGAACCTCACAGCAGAGAATAATGTTCTCTATTTGTCTTTCAGATGCAAATTACTAATTGAAGCCTTCAATACTCAAACAAAAACAACCATCAAAGCCAACAACTTTTCAACAAAAACGAACACTTCACATCATCAGAATCGACTGCTTTAGACATCTCATCGCTGCAATCAGTGAGTTTACCCATCAACCAAAACAACACTTTTTAGCCATCAACACTTTAGACATCTCAATGCTTCCATCCGTGACTTTAACTATCAAGCAAAACCAACACTTCTTAGCCATCATACTTTAGCCATCCCAACACTCCCATCAGTGACTTTACCTATCAGTCAAAACCAACACCTTTCAGCCATCAATACTTTAGACATTCCAACATTATTATGAGTGACTTTACCTATCAATCAAAACCAACACCTTTTAGCCAGCAATACTTCAGCCATTCCAGTGCTCCCATTAGTGACTTTAACTATCAATCAAAACCAACACCCTTTAGCCATCAATACTTTAGCAATCCAAACACTCCCATCAGTGACATTAAATATCAATTAAAATGCACAACTTTTAGCCATCAATACTTTAGCCATCCCAACACTCACATCAGTATCTTGAACTCAGTCAAAAATAGCACCTTGTAGTCATCAATATTTAGCCATGACAGTACTCCGATCAGTGACTTTAACCACCAGTCAAAACCTGCACATTTTAGCCAGCAAAAGTTTAGCCATTCCAGTATTCCCATCAGTGACTTTAACTATCAGTAAAAAGCAACGGCATTTAGCCATCAATACTTTAACCATCCCAATACTCCCATGAGTGACATTAAGTATCAATGGAAACCAACACCATTTGGCCATCAATACTTCAGACATCCCATTGCTGCCATCTGTGACATTAACCATTAACCTTTCAGCATCGTTACAGTAACCATCCCAGCGGTCCCATCAGTGACCACTGTGACAGTGACAGTAACCATCAAAGCCAACACAGTGTAGCTATCAATATTCTAGCCATAACAACACCCTAATCAGTGACTTCAACCATCACTCACAACCAAGACCTTTTAGCCATCCATACTTCAGACATTCCAATGTTCCCATCTATGACACTAACCATCAATAAAAACCAACAACTTTTAGCCCTCAATAGTTAAACCGTCCCACGACTCACATTAGTGACTTGAATGATCAATTAAAACCCAGTGCTCCCAATCTGTGACTTTAACTAACCATCAAAACCAACAACTTTTAGCCATCAGATCTTCAGCCATGCCAGCTTTCCCATCAGTGACCATCAGTCACAACCAAGACCTTTTATCCATCAGATCTTCAGCTATGCCAGCCTTCCCATCAGTGACTATAACCATCACTCACAACCAACACCTTTTAGCCATCAGATCTTCACCCATGCCAGCTCTCCCATCAGTGACATTTACCGTCAGTCACAACCAACACCTTTTAGCCATCAGTTCTTCACCCACGCCAGCCCTCCCATCAGTGACATTTTCCATCAGTCCTAAGGAACACCATTTAACCAGCAATTATTTAGTAACGCCATCCCTCCCATCAGTGACTTTAACCATCAGTCACAACCAACAGCTTTAAGCCATCAGAACATCAGCTATGCCTGCTCTCTCATCAGTGACATTAACCATCAGTCACAACAAAAACCATAATGCCAGCCATACATTAGCCACGCCAGCCCTCCCATCAGTGACTTTTAACCATCAGTCATAAGGAACACCATTTACCAGCAATACTTTAGGGCTGCCAACCCTCCCATCAGTGACTTTAACCATCAGTCACAACAAACATTTTTAAGCCATCAGTATATCAGCCATGCCAGCTCTCCCATCAGTGACATTTACCTTCAGTCACAACCAACACCTTTTAGACATCAGTACCTCAGTCCTGCCAGCCCTCCCATCAGTGATTTTAACCATCAGTTAAAGTCACAACACACTTTTTATCACAACAAACGCCTTAAAGCACGACATACTTTAGCCATGCCAGCCCTCCCATCAGGGGCATTTACCATCATTCATAAGGAACACCATTTAAACAGCAATTATTTAGCAATGCCCGCCCTTCCATCAGTGACTTTAACCATCAGTCACAACCAACACTTTCTAGCCATCAGTTCTTCAGCTCTGCCAGCCCTCCCATCAGTTACTGTAAACATCAGTCACAACCAACACCTTTCAGTCATCAATACTTCAGCCATTGCAGCCCTGCAATCACTGACTCTATCCATCAGTCCAAATTAACACCCCTTTGCCTTCAGTTCTTCAGTCTTGGCTGCTCTCTCATCGATGACTATAACCATCAGTCCAAATTAACACCTTTCAGCCATCAGTACCTCAGCCATGCCAGCCCTCTCATCAGTGACAATAACCATCTATCCAATCTAACACCTTTTAATCAGCAGTTCTTTAGCCATCCTATTGCTCCCATCTGTGACATTAACCGTCTATCAAAAGCAGCACCTTTTAGCCAGTGTAAAGTTTGGACATCCATACACTCCCATCAGTGACTTGTACTATCTATCAAAAGCAACACCGTTTAGCCATTAATACTTTAGCCATTCCAAAACTCCCATCACTGACTTTCAACATCAATCAAAACTAACACCTTCTAGCCATCAGTACTTTAGCCATCCCACTGTTTTCGTTAGTGATTTTAACCATCAATTATAACCCAGTGCTCCCATAAGTTACTTTAACTGACCATCAAAACCAACGCCTTTTAGGCAGCAGTACTTAAGCCATATCAGCCCTCCCATCAGTGACTATAACCATCAGTCCAAACCAACACCTTTTAGCCCGCAAAGGTTTAGCAATCCCAACACTGCCATCAGTTACTTTTACCGTCACTCAAAGCCTACACTTTCTAGCCATCAGTACTTTAACCACGCCAGTTCTCCCGTCAGTGACTATAACCATAAGTCAAATCCAACACCTTTTAGGCATCAACACTTTAGCTGTCCCAACACTCCCATCTGTGAATTTAGCCATTAGAACCAACACCTTTTAGCCATCAACACTTTAGCTGTCCCTGCACTCACGTCAGTGACTTTAGCCATCAACCCAAACCAACACCTTTTAGCAGTCGACACGTTAGCCATCCCAGCATTCCTCGCAGTGAGTTTTAGTATCATTCAGAACCAACACCTTTTCACCATCAATACTTTTGCACTCCCAATGCTCCCATCAGTGACATTAACTATCAGTCAAGAGCAAGATGTTTTAGCCATCTATACCAACAACTCAACATTATGAAAATACATTAACCATCGAAACATCTAAATGGCAACATTACCATGGAAACAAAACCTAATCATAAGTGGTGCTTCGGATTTCTGTGAAGAATTTTACCATGAAAGAACTTTGTTCTTAGTTTTTAAACTTGAGACTTTCTTTTTTACAATGTACTTCTAATCCAAAAGAGTGGAAACTTTCTACAACTGCTGAACATTGTGAATTTCCATGTGAATATCTCACTGAAACTAATGCCCTGGAATTGAACATCTCAAATGCTGCTTAATTACATACTCAGGTTGATTGTGTGTTATTCATGTAATTGTTACTCCAAGTTCGACATCTGGTTCAAGAGCAACCAGGAAAACCACAGGATTATAAAATCTGCAACTGACAGTCTGTGTATTTTATTTGAAGACTTATTTAAGATTTCACAAGCTCTCCAACAACTACAGAGCTCTGCAAGATCTTCGTCCGTTTTCTATGACATCTGACACTAGAAACTAATTTACTTCACATCTTATTTACTCTCAAGATTGAAGAACATGTTCTGGTTTTCAGCGGGCGGAACATAATGATCAGAATATGCAGTGCTGAATGTATCTCTCAGACTGTTTATATACTCCCATATGTTTTTATTACATATGTTTTTACAGCATCACTTGTCTCACGTCTCAGTTGTTTCGTCTCTAAGGTTTCTAGTTACAGACAAATTCATACTGTGATTTTATTTTTTATTATTAAATGCTATCAAACTGTGATGCACTTATTATTCACTGGTCCTGCATCAGGAGATGAGTGGGGAACCTGTATTAAATACAGTTCATCTGAATAATCTGTCTGGTTTATACAAGCTGTGTTGTTCAGAGATGTCTGAAGTATGATCTTTGTTTTTTTAAAGATAAAAAGCACTTGCCCCACTGTAAATATATAGCATGTAAAATTTATATAGTATATAAATACAGCAAAGTTAAAGTGAATTTTTACTTGATTATTTAACTTGCAATATGTCATGTGAATTGACAGCTTACCGAGTGTGTTTGATAATCAAGAAATCAGATCTTCCTTTTGGTGGTAGTGAGAAGATGCTGTTGTTGTACTCACAGAAGATGGGGACTTCAGCTGCCTAAACAAGGATGCAGAAGTCTTTCTTGTTTGAAGTTAGAAGCTTCCAAAGACAGGCAATAGGTCGAAAGCTCACCAGTAGCTTCCTGCTCTGTGAAGCACTAAGGGAGGAGAGAGGTTATGTTTTACTAAATACTTTAAGTAAGTTTTTGGTACATGGAGAACACCATAAAGCCAAACCATAAGTGTACCCTGCATAATGTTCCTATGGCAACAGTTATGTGAAGTTACATAAAGTAACGTGACAAAGAAAACACGCACCTGTCCTGTATCTGCCTTTTTCTTTCCTCTTTTGCCCTCTGGTTCCGAGGTTTGGTGTCTTGTCTCTGTCCAATGAGCAGCTCTGGGCTGGGTGTCTGACAGGAGTATGGCAGCAGCCTGCTGTGCTCGGCCGCTGCTGGGGCTGCAGGAGCTCCAGGAGCTGCACGGCGCGGTGGAGGCAGCGCCCCCAACAGCTCGCAGCTCCGTGCTGAGCCGCTGCGGCGCCGCTGCTGCCAGCGGGGCTCAGTGCCTGCCCGCAGAGATAGGTGCTGCTGCACACGTGTGGCTGAGATCCACATAAAGGACGAGCAAAGCCTTCCCTTCCCTTGGAGTGGGTCTCAAAGGGCATGGAATTCTCCAGCTCCTCACGAATCAACGCTTATAGCGTACTTTACGGAATCCGTTCTGCTGTGGAAGGTTTTTCCTCTCCTTAGCCTGTTCAGTTAAGATGTCCCTAAAAGAATGGCACTTAAAAGAGCAGTTATAATCCATCTGTAAAATTTAATCTTAATCTCTACGGGAGGGAGGGGAGGGAGAAAAAAAAAAAAAAGAAAAAAAAAAAACACTTGTGCCATTAACTTGTATGTATTCCTGGTAAGTTTGGGGCTGTGCAATAGCAAACAGTGCTGTGGTTTGCTTTTGAGAAAGCACAGGCTTAAGCAAGATGGTTTGACACATGAGAACACCAATACTGCAGTGGATTAACACAGAACATTTGTGACAATGACTGAGCGCGTTTGTCACACACATCACTGGCCCACACCAGCTACATCCTGCATTTAACTAGAAACATTTGCCAACAAGGAAAGAAACTGACTAGTCTTAATCTGTAGCATTTGCTCTAAAACAGCCCTCACCTTTCCAGCAAGCTGGAATTAGTACACGAGTATGTAATAAACTTCAAACAGTATGCACTGCTATAATGAAGTATTATAAAAGCTGATCTGTTTATACGATTCAGTTCTGCACCCAGTGAAAATGGTCCCAAGTGGTTTTCTGGACATCACACTCATTTTGCTGGAGCTGTGTGCTGCTCCCACTGCACAGAGGCCTCACACAGCCAGTTCAGCACACAGCAGCGCTGGGGGCAGTGGGCAGTGCTGGGGGCTGCAGGCACAGCACCGCGGGGCATCAGGGACTGCCATGTGCATCACCTGGGCAGGCCATGCTTTTACCCATCTTTCATCCAACAACTAGCACAGGACACACAGTTTCAGAGCGAGAGGCCAGCGCAGGATTTGTACCTGCTATTTGCAGGTGAGGTAATGAACTGATGTCACAGTCTCACTGTTTCCATCAATTTCTCTGTTCATGCTGAAGGAGGGGTGCTAGGTAGCTGCAGTACGGGCAGGGTGCCCTCTCTTCTGCCCCTGTTCCACCCGCAGAGCTCAGTAAAGCCAACTGCTGCACTACACCAGAAATCAAGACAGAGCTGCTACAACCATTACTGCAGGCCTCCAAGTCATAACATCATTTACAGCATCTCCAGGCTTTTGCTAGTAGGAGCATTTCATTGCAGAAATATTCCACATTGAGAGAGATCAGTCTTAGCAGAAGAAAGGAGTTCTGCTCAACTCCCAGAAGCTCTTTCCGCAACTGTGGAAAGATGGCACGCAACCCCACAGCCAGAGAAATCATCTCCACAGCCCTGGAGTTAGCAAAACCACTTCAGTTCACACCCTCCCAAAGGTCCCTCCTGGTAGAAGAGCAGCCCAGAGGGGCTCTGCCAAGGGCAGCTGCAGAGGGATAGAACTGACAGTGGTGACTATGTTGAAAAATAGTGGTTTGTAGCTGAGAATTTGCTCTATCAAAAATCGTTATTGTGTTTTTGGATCTGTTGTAGTTTCCATGGAAATAAATAGGAGGCATTACTTTCAGAGTGACATATGTACGTGGCATGACAAATAGCAAATGCTTAGAGCAATCTCCACATAGCAAAATTAAAAGAACAAAGACAAGAACAGCCCAACAATCAACCACAGAACGGCTTGGGTTGGAAAGGACCCCAGGGATCACCGTGTTCCAATCCCCTGCCACAGGCAGGCAGCCACCAGATCTGGCACTACACCAGGCTGCCCAGGGCCCCATCCAGCCTGGCCTTCCTCGAACACCTCGAGGGACGAAGCGCCCCCAGCCTCTCTGGGCAGCCTGTTCCAGCACCTCACCTTCTGTGTAAAGAAATTCCCCAGTATCCAATCTAAACCTTCCCTCCTTGAGCTTAAAACCATAACCCCTTGGCCTACCACTGTCTACCCATGTAAAAAATTGCTTCCCCTCCTGTCTACAATCCCATTTTAAATACTGGAAGGCTGCAATGAGGTCACCATGCAGCCTTCTCCAAGCTGAACAAGCCCTTCTCCCTCAGCCTGTCTTTGTAGCAGAGCTGCTCCAGCCCTCTGCTCATCTCAGTGCCCTCCTCTGGACCCTCTCCAACAGCTCCACGTCCTTCCTGTGCTGAGGGCCCCAGACCTGCTGCACATGGGGCCTCATGAGGGCAGAGTAGAGGGGGACGATCGCATCCCTGTCCCTGCTGGCCACCCCTCTTCTGATGGAGCCCAGGATACCATTGGCCTTCCGAGTTGCAAGAGCACACTGCTGCCTCATGTCCAGCTTCTTGTCCACCAGGACCCCCATGTCCTTCTCCACAGGGCTATTCTCAAGATCCTAGTCTGTATCTGCGGATTAATCCCCAGTGATTCATCAGAAGCACATATTAAAAACACTCTTTTGGGCTAATTTGGGGCTAAAGGAGAAGTATTTCCGTTGGAAACAAGTGAAACATCTTGCAGGGAGCAGCCCATCCCTTCAACCAAAGTCCCAAATATGAGATGGCTGAAATTTAGATAAGGAACACACACAAAGACTAAAGTGCAGTTCTGATAGCAGCCAGGCCTTTACAGCACAGCAGAGACAGGGACTCCATGGTTCACCTAACTAATAGTGACTTTCCTCTGCTTGAGAGAGCTTCGCTGTCTGCCTCCTGCTCTTCGTGCTCATCGGTCCAGGTCTGGGATCTTGCCACTCCCCTCCCCTGGAATCCCTGACACATAACAGGATCAGTGAGCACCTGTGCCACAGAGGCACCATCAGAACTCAATTACATAGGCATACCAAGGCCTTCTGAAATAATCTGCTTTGGTCAAGTTAGGATTTATCTTCTGCCACATCTAAGCCCACTGATTCCCTCTGGTTTACCATGGGCTGTTGTTTACCTCAAGCCGGATTCACAAGCAGAAATCACAGGGGGTCTTCAACTCAGCACTGCAATGCTCCATCAGCTGCCCCAAGTCTGGTCGTCCAGCTCTGCTCCCAGCATGACGAGGCCACAGCTGGGACACCCAGCCCAGCCCTGCCCAGGCCCACAGCACTGTGCTGCAGGACACCCACCCCACTGATGTCGTCCCATCAGAGAAATCACCCAAGGTTACATATAACACTTCAGTCCCAGGGCCATCACACCATCTAGAAAAGCAAGAGATGGAAATTGCTTTGTTGGTGGTGTCGTCCAGTGCTTCTGTGAAGTCTCTGTTGCCACGTTCAGATCCCTCATGGCTCACACCATGCGTTTAAATCCTGCAGCACTGTCCATCTCACACCTTGCTAACACTACAAAGCCCTGGAGCTCAAAGGGCTCTTCTTTTCTTCTTCAAAGGTTTCTCTTTTCAAAATACAAGTACTAAGGAGCATCACAAAGAAAGCCAACCCTACAAAAGGCCTTTCAGAAAGCCTCCTGCCCATGCCAGACTTACCCTGGACCTGTGCAGGCCCCTTTCAGTACCTCCAACCCACAGGCACCTGTTCACACTGACAGTAGATTTTTAGATTCTCAGACCAAAAAAGCAGCAGCATTTCCTTTGAAATCAGCAGGTTTCGCAATGTATGGTCTGATGACTTAGCCTGAGAAAACAAATCACTCGTGAAACAAGCACAGAAATAAATTCTGCAACATCTGGCACCTCTTGCAGGAGGGTCCTCAGCCCACAAGGCCACATCTCTTAAAGTCCCCCTGAAGGTAATCGTGTGTATCACACTGCATAAAAGAACTGCGGACGCAGTGGTGAATTTGCTATGAAATACAACCCCTAGAGCTGCACAGTAGAGTACCTGACACCACAAAACCTGCACTTAAATTTATTCCTAGGAGAACAGCAAGTGTCCCATTATCTATTCTTCATGACAGAGCAACAGAAGACAATTAACTTGTCTGAGCACACACATCAACTTCTTCTTTGTAAAAAACAAAACAAAAGCACACCCTTGTGGTTAAATGACGAGAAATGCTTTTAAAAACAGTGCAATAAATAGCAGCTCTTTGAAACTTGCTAATAACACCTTCTTGAAAGGCTTCCAACTGGTGATGGCTTTAACAGTTTGGGGTGTTTTTTGTGCTTTTTTTTTTAATCCCCTTTGCATGGTAAGCCATTTCCTTTGGCTCACACATCATTATAAATAACTAAATTTGAATGCTCAGGATCTGTTGATTAAAACCAGAAGTGTAATGGTAATAATATCATCCAAGTGGAACACAGCAACGTCATCCCAGAAGGCTAAGGAAGGAGGGGGCCAAGAAAAGCTTAATCCAAACTTGTCATTGGAGGCTGGAGGGTTTCGGGCAGCCTCTGCTCCTTCTTTACACATCTTTACACATCATGGTATGAATATGTCTGGTCAGCATGCTGATGCCGGATCTGACAGCAGAGGAAAGGCTGCTCATAACTCAGATTGCTTATTAAACTAGACTTTCATTTTTTATAAAAATGCATCAGAACAAAGATGTACACGTATCAACCTCATTTTTCATTTTCCTGCATTTTCTGCATCTCAGCAAGAAAATACATAAAGAGACAGAGCACTACTTTTCTTGCTGTCATTAACAATTTACCCAGACAAAACTACCATGGTGCCTGTGTCGTCCTGGAGCCAGAGCTGGGACCTCTTCCAGAGCCAAGAACCTCTATTATCTGTCTCCTTTCCTGCTCTTTCTCCAGGCTGCCTACTGCCCCTGAGCATGCAACACTCCAAGCACTTACCTGGGCAGAAGACGCACTGCTGGCCTTGGCTCAGAATCATTTAGGTTGGAAAAGCGAGATCACCTGTCTGACACACCCCTGCCCATGCTCTCTGCCCTCCGTGCCTTGGCTGGAGAGGCCATGCGGTGCCAGACAGCACACAGTGCTGCAGAGTGAGAGGTGGCCACAGGACTGCAGCCACTGAGCAGCACCACAGCTCCTGACTCCTGCTGTCACCGAGGCAGCAGGCGCATTCACAGCAGGTATTACTGAGGCATCACTACATTACCACTGCACTCCTTGTCACTCCTTGTTTTCTTGCCTGTTTGCACAGTGCAAGCACCTTATGCTTGCTGCAGGAAAGTACTATTCAAGGATAGTTTAAGAAGTGCTTCAGCAAGTGCGTTTAATAAGACCAAACACTTATTTCCATTCTGACACTTTCAGACCCGGCTCGGTGTGTGAGCTGTTTAGCTGCAAGCCAGACATTGCAGTTTCTCAGAGCCTTGGCTCAAGGTAGACACTGAAAAATGTAACCCACAGTTACATTTCTTGACACAATTTTAGTATTCATTTGTTTGGAAGCATCCAAAGTATTACAATCTTCCACTAATGAGCACTAGAAAGAAAGCATGTTTTTATTTTAAATGCAAACAGTTTTAAAAACTACCAGTGACTTCAACACAATCAAACGAAGCATTTTCATTTCTCTGTCTAAAATAAACTTAAAGCAAGTCACCTCAGTGCATTCCACAGATAAACCTATGCACAAAAATGCAAACCCAGGCTTTGTACCCAAGGAAATTTAAGTACAGAAGGGGTAGCAGAAGTTTTCACAGAATGTTTAATTGCATGGAGCAGGCATCAATACATGGCATGTCTCGTTCTCAGTCCGTAAGAGCAATTTAAAGAGATGCAATTGACTGTGTGCACAAAGCCAAAGAGCCCACTGCGGTTTTTTTTTTGTTCAGGGTTCTTCTAAATCATGGTACTCCCACCTCGGATTTTCCCAGCACTCCGTATGGGGGAGTTTCTTTACTTCCTGTCTTACTCTGGTGGTAAACTGACAAGAACATTTTTTGTGAAATCCAAGGGAAAAGATGGCTTTACAGTAAGGCACGATTTGCGTATGTGAGAGTCAGTGACAGCGCAGTCAGAGAATTCAAAGAAGCTTCAAAGCAGCACCACCCAGAGCCTTAGAGAACACCAAACCCATCACTGGGGAGCCGACAGGAAACGTGAGCAAGTCGTGCACACCCAGAACAGAAAGCTACAGAAGAAGCACCTCTTTCTCTCCATCAGCCCCTTGCCAGCTGTAGCTGCAGGGACACATGAACAGACACTCATCTTAAACCATCTGCAAGCTGACCCACAAGCAACAGCAATTTATAAGGATTAATTAATGAGGCCCAGCCATTGCATCTGTGACCCACAGAACTCAGAGATTTCAAAAATGAAGCACTGAAAGATTTCTGAAAAGTTACCATATACCAAATATTCGTAGGAGGCGCATCAGGAAAAAACAATAAATGCATTTTAAAATCCATATTTATTTGTAGCCTTTACAGAGATGAACACAACGTCAGCATCGCAGCTTTGCCCCTACACCTGGCTGCTGGCTCCACACAGCTGTCACCCACATGAACTCAGAGGATATTCAGACCATGTCTACCATTTTTTAAATTCTTCAACATTCAGTGTCACTTTAATTTTTGTGTTCACCATCACATACAGCTTAGGTTTCTGAGAACAGAAGTTACCTTTTATTTGGAAAATGAGTCTAATAAATCAGCAGTAAGAAAGAAAAAAATGAAGAAATATCTATTAATAATTTCTGAGTAGGCAACTCTACTGCAAGGTAAAGATACAAGTAGACTGAAAATTAGCAAGGAAATTCGGGTACTACATTCAATCACCAGTGATGCACAATAACCTGAGTTGCCCATTTGGTAACGCAGCTTCCAAAAAGGAAGAAGCCTCTAAGTTTGATTGTCTTTCACAGAAAGTTTTGAAGTTAATTTTAGTGCTCATAAAAAAGTACCCAACTGATAACACTGGGGACCAAATTGCTTCCTTCGTCAGAGGGGCTCCTGCGTGAGAGGCAAGCAATTGCCTGCCAGTTTGTGAACTTTGCTGTTGCACTAGCATCAACACCAAGCACGAGGCTATGCAGTCCTCTACAGACATTCTCCTTGTGGTCTGTGCCAAGACTGTAAAGCAAGCAAAGAGTGTGCAACACAATTGAGTTAAGATTAACTGGACCAACATCAGCAACCTGTTTTGCATAAGGCAGAAAGGGGCAAACAATTAGCAGCCACCACCTGGTGCAGGACTGAGCAGTCCATCGAGCCCTAAAAAGACCTAAGTCAGAATCATCAATTCTTAGCAAATTCTTATTCAAACAATCTGGCAACAAACATCAATTTTTATTGGTTTCCAGTGACAGGACGGAAAAAAACTATGAAGCCTCCATTAAGCTTCAGTAAGGGCTCAGAGAGGTGCCAACCAACTCTTAGTGCTTACACACTGCCTATAGACGTTTGTAAGAACCAACATGGGCATTGCAATTCGGACAGAAGTGTTCCACATCTTTCAGAGCATCAACACAAAATGGAATTAAGCAACAGCCAGCTATGCACCTGCAAGGAAAAAAACACAACGCCTGTCAAGGTTTTATGATTTTTGGTTTTCGGTATTCCACATCATAACATCATGTGGGGCACTGGGAGTTTAACTGTTAATGCTCAAGTCCTGGTCCCAGCAGCCTTTCCTCCTGCTGTTAGATCCGGCATCAGCATGCTGACCATAGTGCTTTACCACTTGTTACATACACAAGATCATCAAACCACATTTCTGTCAAGAACAAAAAGCACTTCCTTAAACTTTCCTACCAAAGCCATCCGCAAAACTGGTGCCACAAAGCTTTAAGATGAACACAGGTGCCTGCAGAGCTAGGTGTTATCAACCTGCTGCTAGGCCCTGCAGGGCTTCCAGCCAACGCCATCTCTTCAAACCACCAAGGGTCAGAATGAGAAAGCAACAAAGCTGAGACTACAAGGCTTTACTACTGCTGAAGGCTCTAAAAGGTCACACAAGAGGAAAAAAAGTGAAGTGCAAATGAATCGACCTACCCCAGCAGGCAGAGGCCACCACATGACAGCCAAGTCAATGCTCCTGGCTCATAGCAGAGACGTGTCACGATCACCTGGTTACAGGAAGGGCAACTCATCTGAACTGGGCGGTCATAGAACACCACTACTGGTTGGTGCACATACACCGTCTGAACTGTAACTGAACAAAGAAACATTTTGTTTATTCAGTGGGTAAATGAGGAAGAAAAGATAACCAGCTTCCTCTGAACTGCAATCAGCTGCAGTTCTGAAATACTTGAGGCTCAGAGCACTGAAATGCACAGTGACAAAGAAATCACCATGATGTTTCCTAATGCAGAACACATAGAATATAAGAATAGGTCTGTATTAAAAACTGCAGAAAGGCAAATCATGTAATTTATGTCATTTTGCTCTGTATGTATTGTGAGACTTGCTTGATCTTATTTCCTAGTTAGGTAGGAAACACACGTCAGCCACAGTCCTTCAGTTTCTGCACAGCACCTCTGACAACAACCTGACTCCTCTTTAATGTGGTACAGTCAAGCTTCAGGCTTACCAGGGCTACTTGTTGGCATGGGCTGTTCTGGGTACTGGGGAGGGTTCACTCCCTTCCCACCTGGTCTGAGGCCAGGATCTGGGATAGGGTAGGGATGAGGATAGTTCACATTGATTCCTACTGTCTCTTCATATGAAGGTGGTGCAGATGGGGCAGGAAAGCCACTAGGAGCAGACATCATATCTAGAACATAACAGAAAAGAATGTCATAACAGAAGAACTTATTTAGAGAAAGCAGCAACTTGTTTCAGACAAACAGCAGGAAGTAACTAGATCAAAATGCACGTTTCACAGCACAAACTGTATTTAATGCCATCAGAAAGACAAAACATAAAAGCTGAACTCAATAGTATTGTTGTTTTTTTCCTTCTCTTTATCTCTTCACAGTTTTTATACATCTTTCCCTCACAAACTAAAAATGCCACAGCCAGGACATGGTGTGTCCTTATTACTGTGCTGAGCTGTCTGGCAGTTTCTCCCAGTTCTCCAGAACTGTACTTCAGATGTGCTCAGTCTCCTCCAAAAGCAAGAAATACGACAGACTGCACAGTGTTTGCTGACTAACGTGAGCCTCGTTTGTGGTGAAGAGCAAATAATTAAAATAGAACACTGATCTTTGCTGCAATTTGAAATAAACAAGTGCTTATACTGAAGGGAAAAGAAACCCCAAACGACTAAGTACGTCCAGCTCAATTCACATCTTTTACAACTCAATCAAGTAGTAAGTGTATCATTTTTGCTGCTTACCAATGTTTCAACCAATGCAAAACACAACTTTACCAATGATTACTTTATTACAGAGTAGAGGCTTGCTAACCATTGCCTTTTCCCAATAAGTGTTAACCTAAGATTAGAAAACAGACGTCAGAGGGGCATTCCTGGAAGTATGGTCAGCATTTTATTTCAGGCAAGACTCACAGCCTGAGTCAGCAATGTGTTACATTCCCTGTGCAACCCCAAAAAGGCACTGATAGACTTTTCACAGTTTCCATTTGTATTTTGCTCACTGCAAATAAGTGCAGAGCAGCTTATACCCTTAATCATGGTATGTTTCAGATACTCTCATCTAAAATGCCGTTGATACACAGCTGCCTGGAAAGAGCAACCAATGTATAACACCTGAATGCAAAGGAGAGAAAAAGTTAAAATCACAAACCAACATCGGATCGAAACAAAATTGAGTTTAATGGGCCCCACGTGGGACTGAGATGAATTTCCAACAAATTCACAAACTGTACCCAACTGTTTATGCAAGGACATACGTCATGTGATGAGTAGCTGAGGACAGACAGTAAACTATCTAATGGCTTAAAGCTGGCTTAAATCAGGGGAACTGAGCCAAGCAGAAGCTGGACTCTTCATGGGTTCCTTCCAACTCCAGGTATTTTGTGATTGTATGAAAGGACACTAATTCACTAATTAAAAGATAATCTGAACTTACGCGACTGAAATAAACAGGCACAAAAGAGCTGATGGCAGAGGCAGAAACAGCCCCCAAGTTCTGTCTTCTTAAAGCCCACTCTCAGTTGCTGCTTCCAAATGCTTCAAAAGGGAAGACGGTGGCAAATACTGGGCTATAAGGAAAAACAAGGATAAGACGTAACAAGGAAGTAAACGATGCCAGAAGGTCAGCCTACTGGTTTGCATACGTGCAACTTACTGACAAAACACGATACGCAAACAGTGAATGACCAGTGCACAAACTAAATGCAGGACCAGACCTTTCACTTGGATACACAAGAATTTCCACATACATCTGGGAGTTTCAGATCCAAAAACCACCCAGCACGGAGAAGAACTGAGCAGTTCTTGCTTCTGCACCCTGACTCTCACAACCCTTCCCCTTCAAGCCTTCAGAAATGCATGCAGCAGGACAAGGACCAATGGTTTCAGCTGCCCATTCTACTTCACTTTTCTACTTTTCGTAAAACCTCCTGTGTTCCAAGCACACAACAAGGCGGCCATCGGCACACTGTGCCCAGCTGCACTAACATTGGGCAGGTGAGTCACCAGACTCCAGAGAAGGATTAACAAACAGCAGAAACACCGGCTCCCTCCCCCAGATTTTTCTTTTTGCTTGCGATTCTTCCTTGAGAGAACGGACGCCTAAATCTGCTCCCGCTTTCCCAGCTCAAACCACCTGCATTACAAGCACACGCTGAGGCAGAACAACACCTGCAGGACACAAAGCACTTTTCTCTGTACATCCCTCACTTCAGAGCTCTGCTGCTCCACAAACAAAGCAGAAAACGTCGGCATAAACAGAGGAAAACGTCTGGTAAGGATACAGCATTCACAAACTGCTGCTGGAGCTAAACCAGCACACTAGATGAGGTACTTATGCTAGCTGGAGACCAGGAAGCAACAAAGCAACAAATTCTACCAACAGAATATTCTCCCACCCATTGGAGAGTGCAGCACAGCACTTTGACACTTCTGTGATGGCACTAAAGCCACATTACATTTCAGGGAATGAAAAGCTTCTAGAACTGTTGTATATTTAGTAAAGGTCAGAAATGCACAGCAGTTTTTGCTTAATTTTGCACTTTGTTAATTCAGACACTTCTCCCCCAGGTTAATCCTCAACTAAAAGCCCATGCAGCAGTGTGAAACCAGTGCCCCACACTGATGGCCGTGGCTCTCATCTCCCTCTCCTCCTTTGTTTTTTAAGGAAAGAAGTAGTGATTCTGGAGCACAGACAACTACGAAGTATTACAACAAAGAGTACAAAAACAAAACCGAGTATCAGTCCCTCTGACATTTATCGAAGCGGCGGTTCGTTAATAAAACAAGTGAACACACACAAGAACGAAAAAGCTGTAGGATTACAAGACCGGCTCTTCTCGCAGTAACTGCAGCCCAGCCCCATGCACCGCTTTGCTGCCTTCGTCTCCTCAGAGCAGCTCAAAGAAGGGTTTCAGCTCTCAGTGCCGCCCCGGAGCACAGCGCGTCCGGCACAGCCGGCTGTTCCCGAAAGAAGCCTGCGATCAGGAGAAAGAGGAGGGAACGACCCGCCTCTTTATCCAGGCTGCAAAACCTCTCGTATTGCTTTGGCACTCAGCGTCTGCGGGATTTTTCACTCGAGGAACGTTATTCGGTGAGGACGTGAAGTTGGTGATGAGATTTGCCTCCATTTCGTGCAGCCTCCGGGCAGCAGAGCCTCTTGGTTTTCTTCCTCAAAGAACAGATTTCCAAACCCAGGCCGGCCATGTCAGTGCATCGTCATCTTTCCCTTTCTCTTAGGGAAGCTGGAACTTCCCTATTTCTCTATCTCAAGCTTTATGTTTCTCTTCTCCCCTCGCAAGAGCCCGGGCTGCTTTCCGGCACTGCGAGCAGCAGCTGAGCCCGGCAGCTCGCAGCGCGACCGCGTTCAGGTGCGCCGGGGTTAGACGGCGGGCATGAAACATAAGGCATTAAACAAAAAGCGACAGGCATGAAACAAAAGGCGTTAAACAAAAGGCGTTAAACACAAGGTGGCAGGCATGAAACAAAAGGCAGCGGCAGCCGTGTCCCGCTCGGACACCCGAGTCACCCGAGGACGGAGCGCAGCCCTCACCTCCCCGCCCGCGAGCTGAAAGCGGCGCGCGTTTCTCAGACGGGCTCTTTGGCACAGAGAGCCGCGGCGGGTTGCGCCGAGCAGCCCGTTCTCGGCAGAGGCGCGGCAGGAGAGCGCGGCGTTGGCTCCCCGCGGCCGGACGTCTCCGCGCTGCAGCCCGGCCGCCCGCCGCACGCGCTCCGCCCCCCCGCAGGTGCTCGGCCGCGGCCCCCGCCGCCCCGGGGTCGCTGCCGCCGGCCTCGGTCGTGCGGAACGACCGACGGGTTGCCGAGGAGGCCGGACGGGGCGACTCCGCGGGGGCTCCGCGCTGCGCTCCGGCCCGGGTCCGTCGTCTGAACTCTCCGAAAAAGGGACGGAGCCGACCCGACCCGACGCAGCGAGGCTCCGGGCGACGCCCTCGGCCCTTACCGCCCCACAGAGGATCCGTGTCAGCCCCGCTCTCCCGAACCTCCGCCCCGTAGCGTTTGTCCCGTCCCTTTCCCCTCCCCGTTTGCTCGGACGAATCGCGGCTGCCGGGACACCCCCGGCCCGGCACTCGCGCGGACGAAGCGTTTCTGACGGTGCTCGGGGCGCAGCACCTCGTGCCGCCCGCTGCTGCAGAGCAGAGCACAGCCGACCCGAGCACAGCGCCGTGCGGCTCCTGCAGCTTTCTGCCTCGGGGCACCCGAACTGAAAACAGCGATCGCCCGCTTCCCTATCAGCAGCAGTGGCGGAGCGCGCGTTTCTGAGAGAGAGGAGAAGAAGGGGCTCCCCTTAACTCCAAGGCACGCCTTTGTAACCAGGTCCGGTTACTTCAGCCAACGCTGCACGCAACAAAACAAAGAAAACTATCGAAGCCTCCCAGCAGACACAGTGACTTTAACGAGGGCTCTTACAGGCAATCCATTGGATTCAGCCTCTGGAAACTTGCAACACGTTGCTCCTTTCTCCATCCAACCGAACGCACGAAATAAAGCAGAAAATGATCACCGGGCAGATCGCAGTGTGGGATTCAAAGAGCACTGCTTCCCTGCCGCAGCTGAAGTGAGCCAGTTGGCCAGATTTGTCATTGAGAGCTTTAATCTGCTTTGGACTGGAAGGGCTCAGCAGGGACTTTGTTCAGGTTTTTGGCTGAAAGTATCTAAAAATCCACTGAAGTCCTATTTTTGAGCATAAATCCTCTCTTGGACCTCACCTCAAGAAACACACAGAAAGCTTCAATTCAAGTCGTCCCAGAGCCAGGGACAGGACAAAAGGTGCTCGCAATCCAAGTGACAAGAGGTGAACTATGCAGTCAGAGCAATCTACAGAATTGGCTACAGGTATTTGTACACAGGTTTGCATCAGATGCTGAAGTGTGAGGGCACTGTGAATATTCTGGGAAAGAAGAGGAGGGGAAAGGGAAAGAAACGTGTGGTGGGTTTACTTCTGCTTTGATTCGGCTACATTCAGTCCTTCTTACTTCTTAGCATTTGAACCCAAAAGTAAATGTGACTTAGAGATGAATGACTTTCCACCACTGTTAAGAAATCCCATGATGATATTTATCATATGATCACATCATGATGTGTGATCCCCAGATGTGTTAAAATCGGAATAACTTTGTGCTCTTTGGAACTAGATTTCCTTTGCCAGGTGGGTGTGAGCAGCTGAGAAGCCACAGCAGAGAGAAGCCAGGACTGAATGCACCTCCTGGGGTGAAGGAAGGCACGAGCTGCGCCTGAACACCTTCTTACTCTGTGTCACGTGTTGCTTACATCTCCTCACAGCCTGTCTCCTGCTAAAACTTTTCCCCTTCTGTGGAGACCCAAAATTATTACTCGGTTTTGTTTCATGCTGTCCTCCCCCGCTGTCACAGAATATCCTGAGTTGGAAGGGACCCTCAAAGACCAGACTCCAACTCCCAGCTCCATGCAGGAGGGAACAGGCCAGAAATGAAGACAAATCTTGCTGAGCTCCCCTGCTGTATGAGCTGTGCTCTAAGATGATAAATACACCTTGTTAAAGAGAGAGAGGAAAGGCCACATGGCAATTTCAGAAAATGGAAGTAGGTTCAAAAGCAGCATCCCATGAGAGCTCCCCCCAGTCTCCTTTCTGATGGAGGGAGGTGCCCAGCAGCCCCACGCTCTGTATTTGGCTGTCAATGCTTTTCTCCACCCTATCGTGTCATACAACAGCATCATGAGTCACGGATGTACACACAGTACTGTATTGCTTTATCATCACGTTAATTGCAGGTATTTTATGACGGGACACCAGCAGATGTCAGTTTAATCTCAAAAAAGAACTCCTCTGCATAGATGATTTATCAGCCTTTGCTTCAGTGAGTTTCCACCAAAGTAACCACTTGAAGCTGGGAATCAGAAGTCAGCTTTTTCCTGCCTGGAAATCAAAAGGGTTGCACACACAATTTTTTTTGGTGGTCATTTTGCATATATGAATTTGTCAAGGCAATGCAGTACGAACATTTAATACAAGAAGAATACAGTCAGTCATTTTGTAATTGCAATTGTCAGTCAATATCCTGTCCCACACAACAGCTAACGTTTAAGCCATTCATAGGTTTGCTTTTCAGAACACAAATATTTTAAGGTAGGAACAGGTAAGCTTGATAAGGTTGGAAAACTAAAACAAAGCAACAGTGCCATCTAGAAGTGCAGTGCTGAAGACAGGAAATACTTTGGAAGATTGAAGTTCCAAGTAACGAACCAAACCAACCCAAACCTCCAAAACAATCCTTCCTACATCATTCACTGCTCCAAGCACGGGCTGGGGAAGGCGTCCCTCCAAGTCCCAGGGCATGAACTTCCAGAGGGGATCAGTGCTGATAAAAGACAAAGTACTTGCACTCATAACATCAGACGGGCCTTAATCAAAGAGCAGCTTCTGCCCAGGGGAATGCTGGCTGCCTCACAACACAGACACTGAATTTTAATTAAACTGATAGAGGTAAGCACTGATTCTGCCAATTGTAAATCTTTCCTATGAAAATCATAGCTCATTTAGCTCCTCTGTGAGCTAAGTTCCTTTTAATATTAT